AAACAGTAACTCTGAACACCAGAACACCACATCTCACACTAGTTAAACAGTGTTTGGTTTTGCACATCATGTGACACAGTCAATGTACATGGCCTCACTTACATCTCTCGGGATGTGTGTGTGACGAGGAATCAGGGGCTCTATGTAACGTGGAGGTCTCGGTAGGGAGGGGCCATGAAACCAACCGCTGAGAGACAAACGACACTTCCCTTCAGCAAGAACCTCGGCTACCTGAGAGAAAAAGAGATATTTCTGTTGAACTGTTTGAGACTCCTGTAGACAAAGCTGCAAAACTGAGCACTCGCACACCTCCGTGACAAGTTTACAGTTCAGTGAGATTCAAGCCTCTATAAATGATGAACACCCATAGAATCTGAAAACGGTCTGTATGAGTGTGTGTTTGAAGTTACCTGATGGAAGGAGACAGGAGACACCTCAAAAAACATCAGTGTGTTCCAAGAGGGCAGCAAAGACTTCACTATACTCACTGGCTGATAATGCTCTACACACCAAAACACAAAGTTAAAAAACAAAGTGCATGTAAGTAAAAACATATTGTTGTTTTATGTGTTTTCTGTTGTTGCTACTTAAGTCAAGGCTAGATAACATGAATGGGAATACAAATCAACAGCATTTGAAGGAAAACCATTATCATGGTACACCAAATGGTAATATATATCCATACATTTGTCATTTGTACAAATGAACACTACATACCTTTTTGGTCACACTTTATTTTGATAGTGCCCTATAGATTATATAGACATATAGATGTTTTAGATGTTAACAAACTATTTAGTTAAACAGACAAGTATCAACTTCTTTAGGATTTGAGATAGGATTAGGATTAAGTGCAGATTTTGGGTTGAAGTTAAGGTTAGGTTAGCGTTTTGGTTTAGTGTTAGATTTCATACAATCATACAGTTATGCTGCATATTAAAGATACACAGTCGAGCATTAGTTCAACATAAGGTGAGCACCTACAAAGCACCAACAGTGGACTCTCAAAATGAAGTGTTGCCATTTCCTCTATTACTCATGTTGTACTCATGATAAATTGGTACATTTTTCCTGACACTATTTCTTAGGTCTTGTAAGACCTAATGCTATGGGTGGCTGATATAAACAATATCACAATACTTACAATAGTTAAATACTACAGTTTTGGTAAGTTGGAACAGGTAGTCTTCATAGGTAGTAACATCAGCAATGCCACCTTAAAATAATACTATACTACGCCACACTAAGTCCATTTGGACAGGACTATTTATGCACTCTGTAACTAAACATGCAGTTGGTCAGTGTATTGACGACACCCACAATAAGCTCAGAAAAGTGGATTGTGAAGTGTCATAGTTCATTGGAATATGATAATATTGTCTCATTGCCCACCTCCAACAGTACAGCTTACATCATGTATGAATTCAGTAATGACACAAGCACAGAAATAAATAGGTTCTATTTTTACATTCATAACTTTCTTAATACAAACATGAACAGTTCTGTGTAAAACTTTATTTCTACTCAAAACAGCCATTAAGCTCAAGTTATTCATTTTTAGCATCAGCAAGCAGAAAGCATTTTCAACAGATATTTGCACAAAGGCCTAACAATTACATGTAAAAATTTAATTTATGGTGTCCATTCTTTGCCTCTATTACAGCTTCTATTATTTTCAGGACACTTGCTTTCAGTTATGTAAAGAAATCTCCTGGAATATTTTCTGTACTTTTTGTGAAACACCTCCAAAGTTCAGTCTTAGATGTTATTTGCATTTTCTGCCTCTTGGGATCCAAGTAATCTTAAACACATTCAATGATGTTGATGTCTGGACACTGGGGTGGTCAGTGTCAGCAGCTTCTTTGTTTGATTTGGAAATTTTCTATGTGCTTTATTTCATTTCCTTCAGCTTCTTGTTGTTTTCTCACAGTGGAAGAATGGACAGAAACACCTTTGGATTTTTTCAGATCTGAAGTAAAGAGTGAAGCATGATTTTCTCCCATCTCTTAAAGATGAAAGCTTTAAATACTGTTTATCTCATTGTGACAGTTCTGGCGGTCTACAAGATTTAGGTGTACCATTTTCTATATATCTTATAACAATTTTTAAACTCCAGTTTTGAAAACTCCAGTTTAACAAGTATTTTGCCCTGACTTCTCCCTTCCTTACACACAAGAAATTATCTTATATCTAATCTCCTTAAAAGTTTATTCTGAAAAATGAATAAGATGTACTTCTTGAATAGCTGTTTTGACTGGAAATAAAGTGGTCTCTGACTTTTGCACAGTACTGTATTTCACAGCAGTCATTACCAAGCTGTTCACCACGGTTGGGATGTAACAGAATACAAGTACCGGAAATACGTATTCAGAATACAGAAATTAAGTATCTGTATTCAGTCCAAGCTACATTTTGTAAAAGCAGCATTCAGAATACAGTTACTTTTTACTTTTTTAGGAGAATACTTTTAGAACATACACCCACCACATCTAAAAATCTATAACATCTTTGAAAGAAACACCTTCAATGGTTGTTTATTAACCAGTTCAAAATCAGCGCACAGTGTGTAAAGACATGCTCTAAAGTAGACTTCTTTACAAATACTTTGTAAACTCTAAAATCTTTTGAGGGATGATGAAACTCATCTCCTCAGCAGTGGACAAGTTCACGAGTGACAAGCTTAGCATCGGTGTTGTACTGACTCATGCACTGCATTTCGTGGCAAGTTACTTCTGTCATTAACTGAATATCACAGAGCTACTCACTTCACAGTTAAATTTGTTCTTGGTATACAGCGAATTGTTGGCTTAGGTCATGAGAAGGCAGCAGGTTGGTGGGTGTTGCAGTTTGCTAAGAGCCATAATACTATTTTGCGAATTTTGTGACTTCATTTAAAGTGAATTTTTCATGAAACATACTAATAGAATCATTACATGAAGAAAACTGCAAACCAGTACCAGCGAGAAACAGTGTGAATTACTAAAAATTACAACAGCTGAGTTTTTCCCATGTGTCTTCTCAATGTGTATTCTACATGTATTCTAAATACGTGACTTTTTTTAATCATCATAATGGAATACATAACTGAATGCATTCTGGACAACGTATTCAGTATTCAGCCATGACTGCTATTGTTCCCAACACTGTCCATCCTATATGTGCTGTCATTCATACAAAAAAAATCCATATGCACACACCATCAGTGCTGTACAAGTCCAGTGTTCCTCCATTGCTCAGGTCCCATGGAGGTACCAGGTAAAGAATGAACGCAACCCTCCGCCCTTCAAGTTCATCATCATGACACAGCAACACATCTGTGGAGAGAGGTGGATAACAGGAAACAACACCAGGTGCGCACGTTTTCATCACCCATGACCTTCTGTTCTCTAGGGGTTATTGGCTAGATTACCTGTGTGTTCATACTTAGCACAGGATATGTCAACGGTTGGCTCTAAATCCACTCCTAAGACCTCAGCCAACCAGGAGCGGAACTGCACAAAAATAAGGGACCTAACACACACACACACACACACACACACACAAATACACTTACTTTAGCACAGAAGAAAACACTACAAAGCCAAACTGTAAGAGGCACTTAATAATGTATTCATGTATTATGTTACGTATTAACACTGCAATTTACTCTGAAACACACCTTATCTCAGAAATGTGATGTTCTTTTCTCTTCTTCAGATCATCAGACTGTTAATCAAACAGTTCATAATTAATGTCTTAGGGCAAGATCACAGATTTACAGATTTGACTCACAGTGTGAAAGTAAGCAGGTACCTGCTGGAATTTGTACAAGTCGTTGGACTTGTTGTTGAAATTAAGCTGAAGTAGTTCATCTTGTAGGCTCTGCGCGAAACTCTCATTCTGAATAAAGTTACGGATCTTACAGTGAGGGAACGGTTCACAGTCCAGCTCTATGCTGCCTGTACAGCCAGAAGAGGGAAAACGTTTGAGGAAACCACATTTAAAAACAGACCAAGTAACTGACAGTTACGGGTTATTAATCTTATTGGGGTTTTTATGTCAACCGCAGGCCTCTACACATTTGCTTTGAAAAGCTCAGGAAAGCAATAACAAGCGCCAGTCCACAGATCTACACGTGGACTAGCAAAGAACCAACCATGAGAATAGCTCGTCTTCTTCTTCCACGCATCTCTCATTCCATTCTGAATGACAGTATCTTCAATGTCGGGGTTAATAATGGCACTTTCACCTCGCTTATCCTTTTTACTACATTTTCCCGTGTTTTTATCATTCGACTGCCGTTTAGCAGACATCTTAGCTACATGAAGTAGAAGCGACTAGGTCGCAGGGAGATGACGTAATCAAAACAAACGTTGTCAACCTTCTGGCAAAAACATGTTCAGTATTGAGGAGGTTTATAAAACAAAAACAATGATCACCCTAACTGCATTTACACTTGTGTTTTTTGTATTCTGTACCTTTCCTGTCAAAAGCCAAATATTCCTGCCGCCATTGTGTTGACTGAAATATATGATATGCAGGGGTTATATATAACAAGTATAAGTTTAATACATACTTGATACATAGTATGATGTTAAACATACATTATTAAACTTTTGCACCTTCATATTATTGTTACTACTTTGAATCTGTATCGTTACAATCACTATATGTGTGACTGTGATTTGAGCAAAGTGAAAATAAGTAAACACAACTGAAGTACAGTATTGTAAAAAAAAAAATTAAAAAAAAGGGTCTATGTTTATCTTCACACAGTAAGAACACAGTAATAACATAGTATCATCTGACCCTGATCAAATATAATTAGAAGTGTGGAGGCACTCAATTCTTACAAAAAAAGATTTGTAAGACATTCCCAATTAACAGAAAACTGATCATGGGATATTGGACATGGGACTTTACCCCTAGCCTACCCCTAGCCAACCCCTCACCAACCCCTCACCAACCCCCACCCCCCCCCAACCCCCACCCCCCAGCTGTCATCAAAGTCAAACAAATGCTCAGAATAAAGCAAATTTTATTACAAACAACAATACAGTAAAATTATTTTAAACTGACCATACATGCTAAAAAAATATTTCAGAATAACAGATTTATATTCTGTAGATAATACATAGTTTCGACATGAAAAGACAATTTCTGGTTATTACAGTTTTCAATTTGGAATTCTCTGTCTTTGTGGCACCATTGCCACTTCTCTCAGCTCAGTTCTACCATTGGCAACAAGCATATGCTGAGGGGTCCCCAGGTAAGTCACCGCCCACTGCACCAGCTGCTCTGGGACCCTAAACACACACACATGTACATTCAGAAAACTCAACCTACACCATACTATATTATAGAACAAAGAACTAAACCTAAAACATAAAACAACTGAATTCATAGACACTATATAATCTCACAAAAAACAACACATATATATGACTCTTTTCATACTCTTTGAAGCACATTTTAAGCTTGATTATTTGTAACACTTGTGTTTTTGTGTTTCTTTTTCCACATTCAGGGATACAGTTTATTTTAACGTTGATAAAAATGCAAACTGACGTGACTCGTCTTGACTTACTTGAACTGGCTGAGAGATCTGACAACTTGTGGGCAAGGTTCATATGTGTAGGAGAAACCACTGCCATCTGAATGAACCTAGGAGGGTACAGTTGAAAGGGACACAGTACAGGCAACATTAAGTCAGCCCACTGTAAACCTTAGGTGTTCTGATATCATTTAGTTAATATCTACACCTACCCAGCCCTTTTTGGCAGGTGGGGACACAGTGGGGCTTCTTTTGGCAGGTGGGTCCATTGGGGACATGTCTTCGGTGGACAGGGCTGTATTCTTTATTACCCATGTTGGTGGACTCACTTGCTGCTCTTGTTGCTCCTCGTGAGGTTGGTCTGAGGTGGTCTTTTCACTCAAGTGGGAGGAGCTGTGCAGAGATTGGCGTGGTCTCTGACAAGGCGTTATGCTACTCCCTGACTTCTCTTCTATGCTAGGATTGGAGGACTGGACCTGGCTGCTTGTTGCCATGGACAGAGGGGCTATAGTTAGCAGTGATTCACTGTCCTTCTGTGAGAGAGGCTCTATACTGACTAAATGTAATGAAAAGAAGAAACATTAGTGCTGTGAATATTTATTCTACGAAGCTTGATATCAGGGTAATAATAATGAAGTTACACACTAGACTTGACCAATATTCACGGGCGCTATCTTGTTCAGTTTATCTATCAGTGTTTGTGAACAGTTTCAATTCTTTCCAGTATAAATTCTTGCTTGACAAGCAACTACAACAGAAGATATATTGCTTTATATATATATATATATATATATATATATATATATATATATATATATATATATAGTACTGTGAAGGCAGAGACCACCCTTCATTATTTAAATTTAAGTTCAAAATAGACATTATGTTAAGTACAAGTTAGTGTATGCACTCTACATTACAGCTTCCACTCTTTTCAGGAGACTTGCTTTCAGTTTTTCAAAGAAATTTGCAGGGATATTTTTCCCCACATCTTCAGTCTTAGAAGTTGGATGGATTTTCTGCTCATGATCCTAGTAATACCAAACATGCTTGTACTTAATGGCCATTTTGAATAGAAATTAAATAAATCTCTTTGACTTTTAACCTTAATCTCTAAAGCCTCTGTTTGTATTATTGAACAGAAGTGTGTGTTGAATGACGTGAGTAAAAAGGAAATTACTCTCTGAGGAGGAGGATGGGGTTCCTAGCAGGTCAGGGGCAGGACAGAACATATCCCACGGGCTCACTCCCTCCCCACACTCTTCTCCTCTGCCACACCAGACCTCTGAGAAACCAGCGGGGAAAATACAATAACAGCACAATAAGCTCCCTGGAGCAGTATTTACTCTCCTCAGCATTTCCACATCACTGCTTGGCTCTCCTACCTGGTCTCGTGTGGTCCAGAGTGGGCTGTTCCAAATCAGATGGCCTATCAATAGCTGTTGTGGGTGAGTCTCTTTCATGGTATTGTGCAGTGACTTGCTGGTTCATCATTACATCTACATGAGGAGGCGCCAAGCCACTTGGAGTTTCACTCCCACTAGTTGCACCTGGGCACAGGAACATTTAAGGGAAAAACACATGCATTGTGAGCCTCATACACACGTCTGGTGGAATTCCCAAGGGATTTTAATAATAAGGAGCAATTAATTAGATGGCAGACAGTACCGGGATCAGCTGTCAACAGCTCCCTCTGCTCCTCTGGGATGAGGAGATGAGACACAGGAGCGTTGAAACACTCCTCACCCTGGAAAAAAAAGTACACACACATTTGTTTGGATGGTCTGCTGACAGCTGGTGCCACTTGGTAGCTATAGATACCGCCTTACCCTGCAACGAAGTCTTTCTCTGTGCCAGTGAGTAGGTGTGGCCACACATGGGTGACACCCAGTGGGTGTGGTTATTTTCTCTATTGCATCATTCAACATATCCATAATGATGTCATTGTGCCATGCCCCCATTAGGCAAGAAAGAGGAAATCCTAGAGAATCATGAAGAACAATACATTTCTTAACTGACCAGTTGTTTCTGTTTTAAGCCAATTGTTTATGTATAAACTAATGACTCAAAATACTGACTACCAAGTGTGTGCATGAATGTGTGAAGGTGTGATAACCAACCTGACTGTGAGTTCAGAGAGTTGACTGAACACTCCTTCATTAGCGATCTGAGGTGAAAATTGGAAATTACAATTCATATCAATGACTGCTGCCTATCCAACACATTATTAGCTCAAAATCCTGCTCTGAAGGATTCAAACTCACATGCTAGGCATAACACATACACCTACCTCCATGTTTTTAGAATTTGTTGCTTGACTGATTGAAGCGTTGTGCTGAAACAAACAAAGATACATACTTCAAATCAAGTAAAGTCAAGCCTTCAAAACTTCATGCTTTGTCCAAAAACAGTATCATTTCTGTAATAAAGGTTGCATTAGTCATAACGTAGCACTAATATTTCACACTTATGAGATACATGTGCAAAGCCTACTCCCAATAACAAAATCGTGAAACTATTGATGCGTTTCGGAACAAAACCCCTCAATACTTTTACCCTTGAGACGCAGAGATACAGTGCTGTGAAAAAGTATTTGCCCCAACCCAATGTCTTCTATTTTTGCTAATTTGTCACATTAAATGTTTCAGATCATCTAAATTTAATAAGACAAAGACAACATGAGTAAACACGAAATGCAGCTTTTAAACGATCATTCCATTTATAAAATCTTCAAAAAACCTACATCTCCAGCGCGATGACCTTACCCCCACCACATGTGCTCTCATGCTGAGTTCCCTCTGGTTTTGGCCGTAGTTTTGTATTAGCTGCCCGATCCACGGCTCCGGGTCAACCTCAGCCCTCTGGTAGCGGCGCATGATGGGGCAGAGAGAGGGACACGGAGAAACCGCGTCCTAATGTTTCATCTGCAATGGTCAATCCAACGTTTGTGCTAACTAGCAATGAGTCATTGTGGAGGAAACGCTATGCAGGAATTTTGGCCCTTTTGGCAAAGAACTGTTCAAACTCAGCTACACTGGAGAGTTTTCAAGCATGAACTGCCCATTTAAGGTCTTGCCACAGTATCTCAGTAGGATTCAAGTGAGAACTTTGAGTTCGCTACTCCAAAACCTTCATTTTGTTTCTTTTGAGCTATTCAGAGGTGGACTTGCTTGTGTGCTTCAGATCATTGTCCTGCTCCATAACCCAACTGTGCTTGAGCTTTAGGTCACAAACTGATGGGCAAACATTCCCCTTCAGGATTTTCTGATAGAGAGCAGAGAACCACCACCATGTTTGACTGCTGGTATGATGTTCTTATGGTAGAATGCAGGGTTGACTTTACGCTAGATGTAACCGGACCCATGTCTTCCAAAAAGTTCAACCTCTGACTCATCAGTCCACAGAACATTTAACCCAAAAGTTTTGGAGGTGGCCTGGATGTTTTTTGACAAATGCAAGATGGACCTTTGTGTTCTTTTTGGTCAGCAGCAGTTTGTGCCTTGCAACTCTCCCGTGGATGCCATTTTTTGCCCAGAGTCTTTCTTATTGGCCTTAAGTGAGGCCTGCAGTTCTTTAGATGTTTATCTGGGTTCTTTTGTGACCTCCTGGATGAGTCGTCGAATCACTCTTGGTAAAATATTAGTAGGCCGGCCACTCTTAGGAAGGTTCACCACTGTTACAAGTTTTCTCCATTTGTGGATAATAGCTTTTACTGTGGTGTAGTGGAATCCCAGAACCTTAGCAATGGCTTTGTAACCCTTTGCAGACTGGTAGAGTTCATTGTGACAAATATGCAAAAATAGAAGAAATTGGGAAGGGGGTAATACTTTTTTAAAGCACTGTATATTTAACATGAAACAGCAGCAATAAGATAAGACGATAAAAACAGTACATTTAATAAATACCAACAATAAACTGTTTGAATATTTCTGTTTCAATTAAACTGAGGAAACAAGTAAATATTTGAAATATATTATGAAATGTTTTACCAGCTAGGGGGGTGATAATGCTTGGTGACTCTGCCCACGGTGATGATCTGATTGATAGTCAGATAAAACTGACAAGATGTCTAAAACAGAGGAGTGAACAAGAACAAAAATGTGAAAGTTTGTATGCTAAGATAAACATAGTCCAACTCTGTTTTATAGAAACTTTATACTTTCTGCTATTTTTCACAAGGCCAAATTAAATGGTCTGACTGTACATTCTTGACCTCAGCATTGGCTCTCCCTTTCCTACCAGTTCAGGGTCCATGTGGAAGTTCAGCTGGAATTCTCGCACAGACACTGTTGTGTTGTCCAGACCTGAAAAGGTCTCCCTCTCTTCCAATCTGACATGAAACACAGATGTCATGGTTATGAAACATCAATTACGTTTCAGGAACTCATCAGATGCCTCTTGTTTGAATAGTTGTCACACTCCAGACATTCTGGAGCCTTTCTCTTTGCACATCATCTAGATTTGCCTCCTGTACAGAAATAATGCCCAAAACGTAACATCTCGCTATCAGATTTCAGATATAACGTGCAATTTGAATAGTCAGGCTTTGAGTTGTTTTACAACGTAGACTGATGATAGCTTAAAATTACCCGCAGGACTCGGGTGTTTAGTCAGTGGTGTCATAACACTTTCTTAATAAGTGTGTGGGACGTGTACTCACTCCTGTAAACGTTCCCAGGCGGCTGCGCTGAGCACCGCAGGAATAAACACAGTTCCGTCGGACAGAAACAGCATGCAGGCATCGCTCTCATCCGTCCGCACAGAGTCACTCAAGTCGCTGACCTAGACTCATGAAACACGATCATCTCAGAACCTGCCCTCGTACGTAGCCAAGCCCTTTCGGCAACTAGCGGCGCGATGACCTTACCCCCACCACGTGTGCTCTCACGCTGATTTCCCTCTGGCTTCGGCCGTAGTTTTGTATTAGCCGCTCGATCCACGGCTCCGGTTCGACCTCAGCCCTCCGGTAGCGGCGCATGACGGGGCAGAGAGCGGAGACACGAAGAAACCCCGTCCTGAAGTTTCATCCGCAAGGGTCAGTTAGCTAGATACATGATGCCGAGACAAATTCAGCTATAACGAACACTGTTTTTCTATCAATGGTTTCATATGTTGGGTCAAGCTTTTACTGAATTTAACTGCAGTTATCCTTCTTTCATATTAATACAGAGACTCCTATGTTTTCTTTTTAACCTAGCTAGCTAGGTTAGCAAACTTCAACCGTAGAGCTAACGTTAACCGGTCCCAAGCACTTTTCTTTTTGCATTAGATAGAATTAAAGTGAACTTCAGTTGCAATTCTCATTTTTCGTGGTCAATGCAGAATCTTAAAGATACGTTTTCTAAAACTCTTCATCTTTACCTAGCTAACTTACTCTTATGGATCACTCACTCGAGCAGTACACCCATGTTTTCACTCCGTTCAGCAACCGGTTGAACGCTTTCACAGTTCCAACTGGACACAGAGCATCAGTGCACCTTGGATGCCCCCTTCAGGTAGGTATAGGAACTGCACTCATGCTAACAGCTCTCTCTTACGAGGACCGTCTAAACCGGTGTTAGTTAATTCTGCTCCTTTCTTGAACAATGGTGACAGCTTTCGGTACTGTGTCCCAGATCTATGTTTAATAGAACTGGTGAACTTGCTTCTCTTAAGTGCTTCTGATGTAAAAACATAGATGGGTCTTTCTGTCACCAGCAAATCATTTAAACCCTATATTAACTGAAAGTACAACATAAGACAACATATCAAACGTTGAAACTGAGAAATTGTATTGTTTTTTGAAAAATTTTGTATTTGCATTTTTCCATTTTGCATTTAATGCCAGCAACATTAGGACAGGGGCATGTTTACGACTGTGTTGCATCACCTCTTTTTTTAACAACACTGTAAGCATTTGGGAACTGATAAGACCAACTGCTGTAGAATTAAAAGAGAAATATTTTCCCATGCTTGCTTGATATAGGATTTCAGCTGCTCAACAGTTGCAAGATCTCCTTTGTCATATTTTTCATTTCATAATGCTGCTAATGTTATCAGTGGTGACAGGTCTAGACTGCAGGCAGGCCAGTTTAGTACCCAGACTCTTTTAATACAGAGCCATGATGTTGTAATATGTGCAGAATGTGGTTTGACATTGTCTTGCTGAAATACACAAGGCCCTCCCTGAAAAAACAGATGGTCCCTCTCCTCTTTGGACAGGAGGACACAGAGTCCATGATTTCCAAAAAAAAAAAATTTAAATTTTGATTCATCGAACCACAGGGCACTTTTCCACTTCAGCCCATCTTAAATAAGCTCAGGCCCAGAGAAGACTGCAGTGTTCCTGGATCCTGTTTATATATGGTTTCTTCTTTGTATGGTAGAGTTTTTACTTGCATTTGTGGATGCAGCAACAAATTGTGTTCACGGACAGTTTTCGAAAGCGTTCCTGAGCCCATGCAGTGATTTCCACTTGGAATTGTGTTTGTTTTTAATGCAGTGCTGCCTGAGGGCCCAAAAATTACAGCCAGCCATTATTGGCTTGTCCTGTTCATTCAGATATTTCTTCAGATTCTCTGAATCTTTTAATGATAGTATGTACTATAAATGATGAATGTCGCCAACGTCTTTGCTATTTTATCTTTATTCTTACTTCTTATTTTTAACGTTATTCTTGAATGGTTACACTGTTTGCCTGTGCAGTCTTTCACAGAGTGCTGAACCCCTCCCCATCTTTACTTCTGAAAGACTCTCTGGGATGCCCAGTAATTATCTGTTGTCAGTTAACATAATTAGTTGTGAGATGTTTCAGCAATGTTTTTTTTTTTTTAGCATTACACAGCTTTTGTTGCCCCTGTCCCAACTTTTTTGGAAAGTGTTGCTAGCATCAGATTCAAAATGGCCATATATTACTTGCATGTGACTGTGTGAGATTTAATTTTTGATCAGATGTCACAGGTATCCACTCAGCATTGCAATAAGAATTTGTTTATTAATGACTATATTCTAGGAATTATATTCATAATGTAAACATATTTTTCCAAATATTTCTGCCTTTATTACAGTTGTGATTGTATGTCCTTTCCATAAATCAAATGGTACATAAGAATGCCAAAAAGGCTTTTTTTTTGAAGACCCCTAGCTACAGATTTATGAACCAGTTTTATTGAGCTTTGTCGGTTCATAATTGTAAGATACCCTCATGTTGAATCTTGCGTAACAATCAATTAGTGCTCGTATGTTGCGTAATTAAACTGTTAAGATGTAAACAAAGTCATTTAGAGAGGCGAAAAATGCTTGATTCTGGTGAATACTACAGAGTCAATGGTGATAGGAACCAGGTGTCCAAAGTGTTTAAGGCCCCTAAAAAGCTACCTCACATAATGCTTTTGCATGAAATTACAATACACTGCCTGATGTCTAAGACATCATTTTATGATGGCTTTGATTTACAAATTTGGACTAAAATACATTACATACACTCAAAATGGACAGGTATATGCAGGTTGTTGTAAGAAAAAATATCACCAAAAGAAACCCCCCCTCCTTCTTTTCTCCCACATTTACCACTATATTACCATTACTTAGAGTACATATAAAACACAAAAAAACATAGGTTGATTGTTCATTTTGAATAATAAACAAAAGACTATAATTGTGTTGTATCCACCAAAACCCCTGGCAGATAATCACAGTCAATGTAATAAAGTCTGGGTCAGTAAGCTGCTGTACCACCAACCATTTCACAACAAAACAAGAACCACTTTGTTTATGATTGAATTATGCATAAATGTTGAAAAGGTTCTGGAATTCCCCTTTAATTATTTATGTAGGGGCATACTGGTTACAATGAACATTACCTCTTTTAATACGATCAGAACATTTGCTGCTCTTTAGGAGAAATTCTTGTGCTTTCAATCTAAAAGGGCCACTGATATAACCAATAATAACAAATTTTACAATTTGTAATAAGATGGTTTAATTTCAAACGAACACACACACATTAACTACCAGGAACTGTGAGTGCGATTTAAAAAAATGAGCACGTGGTAAAACCGCATTAATTGGATGTTCAGAACTTCAATAGTTTCTTTCCCCAGTAAATCACATTAATAAGCCTCTGGGTGCAGCTTGCGGTGAATCATGCAATCGTTGTGGTAAAAACTTTAGAACACACCATTTAAAAACCAAACAAAACAGAGGTGTACATTAGTGTAAAGTTTGATAGAAAATTCACTGTGCGATGGTCAGATGCAAGCTTCATCTGTTTAAACTGTTTCATAGTTTTCTTTCATCTGGGGGGAAAAAAAAGTGGTCAGAATCATTTCCACAGAAAGCAGAGTATAGAAAACATACTCTGACCAGGGGCCTGTCTCACAAAGCAGGATTAATTTTCCTCATTTTTTAAAAAATCTATCAACCTATGCAGCCAATCAGAACAGAGCTCATTTATTTTATATACATCTGTTTAATTCTAAGGGTTAAAGAGAGGTTGGAAAATGGTTGTGTACTAATGAATGACAATTTTGATAAATAAAATCAGACAAATGTTCAAGGTGGACCTCAGGGGAAAAAAAGCGCAAGATGTGCGTTCTTTAACTACTGTTGTGAAACAAGTTAGTTTTTGTGAAGCTGAAACAAAGTTGACATGCTTCGTGAGACACGCCCCAGGTACAATACAACGTCTATTACTGCTCCTGGAGATAGCTATAGGAGGTTGCGTGTGTTTGTATTTTACCTGAAAATCAGTGGTGCTCCCAATGTCCCACCCATCTTTTGCAAAGCCTCATTAAGCCCAGCTTTCAAAAGTGAGTAATCTGGCTTCTCAGTATAGTGCAGGCCCATTGCCTGAGACAAATAGCTCTGTAATACATCTACAGACACATTCACAGCATGAGAACTTTATAGGCAATATACTCCTATATGTGTAGGCTGTAAATGACAACAGAATGTTGTGACACACAAATCACTGACAAAATTTCACCTATCAATTCAAACTCACACACACCTGAAACTCTTCTCTTTTTAAAACAGCTGCTCATTAGCCCAAGAACATCAGTCATATACCTGTTCAGACAAAAAGAGTGCTGCTTACCAAACAAAAGTAAACATAAGAACATGCTAGATGTTAATTAATACAAATCATTCAACAGCTCTTTAAGAATTCTGTAACATCTTCATTTGTGTATTTCTGAACTTAAATGAGTGAGTGCATTACCTCTCCTTCTCAGCAGAAATAGCTGAGCTGGACTTAGTGATGTCACTCCAGGGTAGAGTGCCTGTCATCCAAGAAAGCAGACAGTAACCCAGAGACTGCAGATCACTACGGCGAGAAGGACCTGCATTGTGCATGCACACATTAGAACACAAACACCACAAAATCGACTCATTTTGAATATGGGCCATGTGGCAACGACTGAAATGTGAGGTAAGATCCCTGTTTGCTCAATGATGCTTTTTACGCCCTGCCATCCAAACAAGCATGATGCCAGTTTTTTGCTGCAACTTACTGTTGTCTATCCGGCCTCCCTGATACAATTCATATAAACGAGATGCATTAAACTTGCCTTGGTATTTCATACTTCAATCTCATTGAAAGTGATACAGCTTGGAATAAGTCCTCTTCAGCTGTCTATCACAATGCCAATGCAAACTAAAGTACTGTGCCAAAGTCAAAGACCAGCCTTCATTTATTAAACTTTCAGTCAAAACAGCCTTTAAGAACAAATTATTATTACAAGTTTTTTTTATGAGATATTTTATGAGAAAATTTGATATAATCTGTTTGAATAAAGAAGGACAAAGGAAAATAAGCGAAAACAAGAGTTTCCAAAACTGGAGCCTATAAATTGATTAAAAGATAAAATTGAAAATGGGATTCCTAACAACTGTACAAGACCGGGCAGACCACCAAAGCTTTCAACATCAGATAAACAGTACCTAAAGCTTACATTTTTGAGAGAGAGAGGGGAAACGTCAAGCTCCAATCTTACTTCAGATCTAAAAAAGGTCACCGGTGTTTGTGTCCTTCTTTCCACTGTGAGAGGACAACCCAACACTCTGAGTCTGAAAGAATGTGTAGCTGTCAAGAAACCATTATTAAGAAAAGAAAATAGACAAAAAAGCAGAAAATTTGCAAATCAAAAAAGCTGCCCAGAAAAATGGACAGGCCACCTCAGAGTCCAGACCTATACCTCACGGACTGTGTTTGGGATTAGGTACTTTGAAACAAAAAGTGCAACCAACTTCTAAGACTGAACTTTGAAGGTTTGGAAAAATATCCTAGCAGTTTTCTTTAAAAAACGACATACTATTTAATTGTTGAGGCTTCTGCTTATAACGGCACATAACTGTATCTTTACATTAAAGATACAGTTATATGCAAAACTTTAAATTACCCTGGTCAAATTACATGTTTTGTTGGTTAGCTAACACCCTCTACTGGAACAAACATAAATATCATACTTTTCTGCAAACTTCTATTTATTTGCAGAGGCAACAGAAATTTTGCAGAGGTGTGATCTCTGTAGAGGATGTGTTAACTTATTGTCACCTAAAAAAAATAAATAAATAAATAAATAAATAAAATAAAATAAAATTAAAAAAACACACTATTTGACCAGGGGGACTTTTGTCTATGACTGTATGTTTTTACTGTTTTATCATGATGCTGTAAAATGAACAACATACATAATGGCCATTTTGACTGGAAATTAAATAGGGTAGTCTCTGACTTTTGCACAGCACTGTACATGTTTAATAATTTTCACTGACTGGCTTGTGAGATCTGCTTACCAGCCCCCTTGTGTGAATCTAAGCTGATAAAGTTGAGGTTTCCCTGGTGGGGAGTACGGCTGCCTTCCCTGTACTCCACGTGGTTTCCTCCAGGACAGAACCTAAATGCATGGCCAAAGCCTGACAAGAATACCTAAAACACACACACACACACACACACACACACACACACACACACACACACACACACACACATTATATATATATATAAATCGAATACCCTTGCACAGAATGTAACAGAACACTAAATACAAACTAACTGCACATAGGGCATACGGACCTGTGAGTGTCCGATTGTGCTGATGTAGATGTTGCCAGCGTGGATGTCTGCATGAGTATATTCATTTTCATGTACAAATTCCAGTGCGTCCAACTAAAACACATATACACTCTTACAGTAAATACAGTAAATAAAGAAATATGAACATCCTGTACCTGAAAAAGGGTACATGTACACTTCTGTCATTCAAGGTTCAAACAACGTAAATGTATCCTCAAAAAGGTACAACATGGTCCTTAAAGACCAATAGTGTCCCTTAAATGAGTTTTAAATATATACATTTGTACTTTTTCCTGCATGAACTTTTTAAAATAAAAAAATAAAATAAAAAGCCAGTCAAGACAGGATGTATAGAGTCAAAGCAACTTAAAAAATATAACTGCAATGAAATATGGGACAATTATGCTCCCTAAGTAATAGCGATGCACTGATACCACTTTTTTCCTTTCAACACAGATATCTGATTCTTGAGTATTGACCAATACTGAGTGCCAGTAACTATCCACATTGAATTTTTAATTTGATTTTTGTCCTAATTTAATTTCTAATTAGATGTTCAATGTAATCATTCTGTCATTTAAATTTTAGTTCATTCATTTAATGAATTTCATCTTATTTGAGATTTAATCATGCTTTAAACAAATTTTTAATTTCTATTCTCCTTTACTTTTTAAATTTCTCTGTATTTTCTCATTTGTAACGCACTTTGAATGACAGCAGTGTGTGAAAGGTGCTATATAAATAAACTTGCCTTGCTATGCCAATACTAACTCTAACTAACCTAACTAGCTTAATAGTCCTAGTATTTATACAGTTCTCCAGTGCCTTTTCCACTGGCTGAGGAGGTTTGGTGTGAACACCCTCATCATCAGAACATTTTACACCTGTGTAGACCATTTTTAACTGCACAGCCATCAAGCAGAAAGCTCTGCTGAGGGTGGTGTGGACAGCCCAGCACATCAACGGAGTCCAGCTCCCAAGTCTCCTAGATTTATACACAGCCGCTGCCTGAGGAAGACAAGGGGGATTCTAAAGGACTCCACTCACCCAAGCCACTGTTTGTTCTCTTAGCTGAGGCGATAAAGAAGCATAAAGTTCAGAACCAGCCAGTTCCGAGAGAGTTTCTTCCCCCCGCCATCAGCCAGTAGGGCTTGTGTATCCGTCTATGGGCCTGTCACTACACCTCTGAGTCATCATCATCATCATGATCTCCATGGACAATCCATGGACAATCCATGGACTTACTCTGATCTTACTGCACCTTCAATCTAGCAAATCTATACTTACACATATAGATTGACATCTTGTACATCTATCCATAGCTTGTATAATCTGGTAGATTTCTCAATATTCTATCCCGTGTGTACCCTGCATCTCATTTATTTATCTACCTCAGACTCACTAATTGCACATATGGAAATGTGTACAACTGTACCTATCAGTTTTATTTTATAACTTATTACTGTACAAAACTGTACATACTAGTGCAATGCTAGTGCTTATTAATGTGCACATTGTGCATATATATATATATATATATATATATATATATACACACATATACACACATATACACACACTTTTTGGGGGGCTACGCACCTAAGATTTTCACCCACCTTCACACCTGTGTAAAGTGATGTGCCAGTATACGTGATTTTATTTTGATTTAAGCATGACATTAGTAATTCAAAAGCTCCAAAAAAAACATACTAATCGTAGTGCCAGCTGCAGGACTGCTTTCTCAGGCAGACACTTCTTCTCTATGTCCATAACTGATTGCAGAGTTTGGCCCATGTCAGGAAAAATTAAAAATCTGCAGAGAAAATAAAAGGCAGACACAAACATTTACACAGACACAAGCAACAAGGTTTACACAATTTATCATAAACACACATGCACTTATTTGACAAACACAGACATTCACAAACCTGTATGTGTCATGAAGACCAAAGCCCACACATGATGGAATTCCAAGAAAGTCCATACTGAGTTTCTTCATCCACTTCTCCACTGGAGAGAAACACACACACGCACACACGCGCACACACACACACACACACACACACGCACGCAGAGTACGGTGACAAGCCCAGACCCATTTTGTAAGCACAATGACCTACAGCATGGCAAACTGACCTGCGACAGGTTTAGCAGCTCTTTGAAGGAAGTTCTGTTCATTAAACAGTTGTCCTTCTTTAGCACCCTGAAAAGGGGAAGACAGTATAAACATGCACACACCTTCCAGTACTATAAACACACACACACAGCTGTGCCGAAGTATTCAACTCCCTTAAAATTCATCAGATTCGTCTGGATTTCAAATGACACTTAGATATTAATTTTTTTAAAACAATTTATCCTCAAAATTGATTAATTTAAGGTGATATTGGTTTTATGTAAGAAAATATTGTGACAAAAATGACTAACTGAAAAATGCTGTTTGCATAAATATTCAAGCACTGTGCTGTGGAAGCTCCAAGTTTACACAGATTAAAGATAATGAGGACAGAATTGCCATACAATTGGCCTTTACCTGTGAATCAATAAAAAAGTCCATCTTTTCTAGATAAAAGACCCTCTTATTTCAAGTACCATTGATCAGACTGTGCATCTGACAGAAAGCTGTGAATAAGAAGACTAAAGACCAATCTAAGGCAATCAGAGATAAAGTTATATACATGCACTAGAAAGGAAAATGCTACAAAATAGTATCTAAAAGTTTGAATATCCCAGTGAGTACTGTTAGATCACTTGTGAGGAAATGTACGCTGCATTATACCACCCAGGCATTGCCTAGACAAGGTCGTCCCTCAAAACTCTGCGTCAGAGCACAGAAGTCACAGAGGCGAACAATCACTCTGAGGAGCTAAAGAGTTCAGTGGCTGAGACTAGAGTAAAAGTGCACCAGTCAACAATATCAGGAGTTCTACATATATCTGGCCTGTATGGGGGGCTGCCTATAAAGAAGCCATTACTGAAGAATAAACACATCAAAGCAAATCTGGAGTCTGCCAGCTAAAATGAGGGATAAGGTTCAGTAGTCAGATGAGACAAAAATTGAGCTTTTTGGCCAAAATTCAAAACTCTATGTGTGGCGCAATCCTAACACTGCTCATTCGTCGAACATTATCCCAGCAGTGGGGGTGGCATCTTGTTAAAATTGAAGGATGAATGCATGGTGCAAAATACAGGGAAATACTGCAAGAAAATGTGCATCAATCTGCTAGAAAACTAAAGCTTCGGAGAAAATTCATCTTTCAGCAGAACAGTGACCCCAAGCACAAGCCCAAAGCAACACAGGAGTGGCTGAACAACAAAAAGGTGAATGTTCTCTAATGACAAAGTCCAGTCCAATCAAGAATCTATAGTACTATTTACCCCCAAGCATCATCCAACCAATCTGAACAATCTGGAGCCAATTTGCCAGGAAGAATGGGAGAAAATATCTTCCGAACAGTGTGCAAAGGTGGTAGAAACTTACCCAGCAGACTTAAAGCTGTTATTACAGCAAAAGGTGGTTAAGTACCTTCAACGTCATTATACTTGCACAGTACAACAAAACTCTTTTCTTCGCGTATCCCAACTTATAAAGCTGGGGTTGGAGCGCGGGGTCAGAGCGCAGAGTCAGCCATGATATAGAGCCCCCAGAGCAGAGGGTTCAAATGACTTACTCAAGCGCCCTCAAGACTTAGCAGCCCTAGGTATTGAACCCACAAGCCTGGGATCAATGTTTTTAAAGATCTGACTATTAATACATTTTGACTTTTATTTTTAAATTTACTTTAAGACAACATTGGTTTGCAAAAAAGCCAGAACAATCTGTGCAAGTGTTATTTGTTCTGATAACTTTTAAGGGGGCTGAACACTTTTGCAAGGCATTGTATATTACATATTATATATTGTCCCATGTTAGGGGTACTTACCAGTCTCAAAATGTGCTTCCAGTCATCAGAGCTGGTTCCCACACTGACCTGTTGCACTACAGAGAACTTCATGGGTTTAGATATTTGTGACACTCATAACCATCTCACAGGAGACCAGGCTATTCACTTTAAGTGTGAGAACATTTAGTATTATTGCTGCATATATGAAAAGATGCATTCTCCTCATCTATGGACTTTCCCATGCTCTCTTTTCCCATGCTATGTTTATGAAGCTGGGATTTATTCAGAGCACACTTTTAGGCTATACAAAAAACAATATAATGCAGTTCAAGACCAGATGAAGACTGTACCTCCATATGTCAGCTCCACTTCTGTCTGAAACAATAGTTTCACCAGCTTCCATTTCTTTCCGGACTGGTCACAAAACTCCACTCCTTCCTGCACAGGCTCCACAACACACAGTCGCTTGGCCCTCTTTGCTTTGCTTTTCGCTGAAAACACAAATAACACACTACACAAGAATATCGGTGTAACAATGCATTGTGACACTGTGGTACCACAATCCAAAACTGTAACAATGTGCATCATGGAAATGTGACAATGCATAATGAAGAATGGACATTCTATTTATTTAGCCATTTAATGCAATTGCATAGTTTGAACACCAAAGTCTGCAAATGATCAGCACCAATCAGCAATCCACTCCAGCACTTGTTCAACAACATGATTACCGTTGATGGGTTCTCCAGATTTTACACCACAAAACCACTAAAAAGCATCAAGGCCCACAGGGAATTTTTTTTTGCCTAAAAACATGATTTTTTGTTTCTCAACTGCTGATGAAGGAAACTTCAGAATAATGATCTAAAAAATAGCTTAAAAACCACTGCCTCCCCCTCAGTACTGGCCCTATGTCCACCAGAAAGTGCTGACCCAGTGGTTGAGAAACACTGTTATCATCATTTTTCTTAATTTGAATTTTGTTCAAGATACTGTAAGAATACTGAGTAGTGAACCCACTATTGTTAATCAAGTCAAATTGAGTCCCTTTTACCTGTACTTGGCTAATGTTAAAATCCTTAAAAAGAACACGAAAAATCTCATGATTAGAAACATGATTGGCGTGTAGCACCAAGTAAAAAAAAACTAAATCAGTCACTATATCACCCCCTTGACCATTTTACAAAAAGTAATGGTTATGGACTGTTTGGGGAGGGGCAAAATCTCCAAGATATATGACCTTCTGGTAGGCAGGTCCTCAGTCATCTGTAAAGAGGCTAGAGGCATGCATGAATCACTAATCCACAATGTCTGGGGTCGTTTCATTTGTTACTTAGTGAGGACAGACTTAGCCCATACAATGTAAGCTCCTGGAAATATACTGTATAAGTAACCCTCTGCAAAATTCATCAGTAGTTTTTTATTTTTCAACATTTGTACACTGATGCAAGATGTACTTAAATGAAAGTGTAGCGCCCTACTACAATCCTCAACATTTTCTGGTTGGTGCATTGTGTGTTTTTTAAATCCTTCAGTTGTTTTCCAGAGATTTTGTTTATGTGTCCTGTATTTTTATGCTTTGTTATATAGATATATACAAATATTGTAGGTTGACTATATCATTACACCTCTATTCAAGAGAACAGAAAGACTCCCTAAAAGGGGCTTTAATACATTACAACCACAGTCTGACTGCTTGTTTGTGACGTTTTCAAAGGATTTTTGCAAATTTTACAAAGGACATTCGTGAGTAATAAAAAAAAAAACAGGATTTCTGGCATTCAGTCAGTGACTACTGGGTAGTGTGTCACCTGATTTTTAATGTAAAATAATTCTTTAACTGATTTTATACAAGGCTAATATTTTTTTGATCACCAACCTGAGGGGGGAGTTTGGGCTTGGGGTAAAGGCACTATCTTCAGCTCTTCCTCCTCTTGCACCTTGGGGGATGCCTTTCGTTTCCGAGGTGACGTCAAACACTTCTGATCTAAAGGAAAAAATTGAACTTAAGAACAAGCTTTTACAGTGGGTATCTAATGAATAATCAGTTAACGGTAACTCCTTTGTTCAGCATGTTGCACAACTTTGAACGGTGTTTCCAAGTATCCATGATAGTGTAATCTGGTGCATGTAAACTGTGTAATCTGGTGCATGTAAGCTGTTTCCAAGTCTGTTTTTCCTGGATTTAGGTTTGTCACAAGCCATCACACTGAGTTGAAACCAGGAAACCAGGACATTTGGTGATTCAGTTGTATTAGCTGGGCAGAGGAGGTACTCCATGCTCATCAAAATCCGAATCTGTGATGCAGCTTTGAGGAGCACTGTATACAGCTACATGTTTTTTTTTTTTTGGAGGGGAGGGGGCACATAAGAAATGACAAGATCTTCTGTGTTAAATGTCTGCGAGTCTTGATTTCAATTCATTTGTAATGACATCTTGTATTTATGACTAATTTCAGCAGAAAAACACTACCCCTCCACCGTGATGCATGGCAAATTCAATTACTAATTTATTTTGTTTTCCCAACCTGAAGGAGAAGTCTGGGCTGATAAAGAGGACACCTTCTTTGGTTCTTTCTCTTCTTCTTCTTGCACCTTGGGGGATGTTTTTCGTTTCCGAGGTGATGTCAGAGCCCTCTGATCTGAAGAAACAACACAATTTTAAGGGTAAGCTTTTTGATGGGAGCGCACTGAAAAATCTGTTATCTGAGATTCTTTAATTAACCTGTGTATTTTACAGCTTTGGGCGGTGTTGCTGGACTGCTTGTTATCTTGGTGGCCGTTTGGCGTGTAGACCGAAAGATCGGTGAGCGGGTCAACGCTGAACTGGCTGAAGCCTCAACAGCATCTAAACAGAAAGAACGGCACAAATATAAATATAACCAAGACCACTCCTCGTATGTTCATGATTCTAGAGACAGAGTTCACTGTGACCTGACAAACAAAAGCACCATTTCACTTTGTACAAATCGCCCCTGGCTCCATATTTTTGAGACACTATAATTCACTGGTGCCTGTGAACTGTTTTCCAATCTTTATTCCTCGCTCACAGGGGAGGCGTGGCCATCTGTGTATCAAGATTTACCTTTACTGCTGTTGAGAGCTGATAGTACTGAGTGTGGGCCAGGAGAAAGGCTGTGTAAGCTGCCATGAGGACCTGGATCTGACACCACTGCAGTCTCTGTGTCTGCAGTCTCAGCTGAGTTAACCAGGCAGGGGAGCTTCTCCCCGCAAGACGGACAAAACTTGAACCCAGACTGGAGTTTTGAGCCACACTGCGGACAGTAATGCAACAGCATGTTTGACTTGATCCAGTCACGCAGGGAAGTTAATGGCCTGTTCGCTTTTCGCAGCACACTGCACCTCTAAAGAAGACTCTCAAACAGCAATTCCTGACTAGATAAAGTTAGCTAGTTGGATCATTTCACTTCACAGTCACCTGCCTTTCTCGTCGGTATAACTTAACTAATAGTTTAAAAAATCTGTCCTGTAAAACTGAGTCGGAGAAGCAGGAATAACGCTATTAGCCAACTTAGCTAAACTCTGTTCTGACGTGTCACGTGACACCACAACGGCGGCTGGCGAGGCCCAACGTTGGCGCGTTTGTTAAATGCATGGTCTTTGAGGCCAGTAATAATCATGCATGTATGTGCTAATAAAGCTACCTGATGCTTTTGCTGAATCCTAACACTTTGGACTCCGAACCTCCAAGGATGTCGAGTTTGAAACTGTGCAATATTAAGGGCGATAAAAGCACTACTGCACAAACCAGTAAAGCCACAAAAACGATACTTGTCTTAACCCGGACAAACATTACAAAAATAAAAATGAACTGAATCCAATGCGTTTGGTTGTATTCTTCTAAATGAAAACTATTTAACAACAGAGGAAAAACATTTAATATTACGGTAACTTTATTGAGTCTAAAGCTCGAACACCAGACGTATTTATGAGCACAATAAAAATGCACGTTTCTTTAGAATGACTAAGGCGTGACCAGTCGGTTCGGCAAGATAAGGATTTGTACAAGTTCGTTTCACTGATCGAAATCGATATACTTACGCATCTTAGTTTAAAGGCATACAAAACACACCAGCAAAATCGTATTAAAAGATATGAGGGGAAACGATGGCCTATATGTGTGTGTATGTATATATATATATATATATATATATATATATATATATACATACACACATACATACATACATATATACACACACACAGAGAGAGCTTGGCGATGTTCACTTATTAGAAGCCTACAGTTTTTAAGGATCCTTTTCATCTTCCGCCTTCTAAAAGATCTTTTAGTGGGTAAATAAGCACCAACGTAAGAGTTTGTTGTGAGTGATGGGTGAAGGTGCCTTAATCTCGCACTGGTATTAGTTTCATTATTCACTACTGGCGACGGGGACACAGCTTCAGAAAAGCCACATGCGACTGTCAATTCGTGGGCCGAGCATGATGGCACTGCACAGTTGTATTTCAGACAAGTTTAAAACTATGTCTAAATGTTGCACGATAATTAATGTATCACTTACCACGAGTCTGTCATTACAGTAAAACACTAGAACAACTGTTAGACCATTCTGAGCATACTTACAAACTTTGGAGGAAAATCTCCTTAGAAAATTATATTGATATGCATTGAATAAGGATGCAGACATAAATGAACTGCGGTGTCACATCTTTTTGGTTCCCATAAAATGGCCTTTGGTTACTTCCAACACATGCCATGGATTTACCTGCCATCATTTTATGAAAGAATTACTCATTGACAAGAATGTGTGATAACACTGTATTGAGAAATGAGTTACACTGATTATTTACAATGCGTTTGTTAAAAACACAACCCAAAATTCATCCTTTACATTGAACACCCTTTCCCAACTTCTTGACTTTTCATTATAACATGGATTATTATTTAAAGAAGAAAAATTCAAAGTGATGAAATCTTATCAGCTACTATCACTAAAGTTACCCCCCCCCCACCCATAAAAAATATGAAATCTTTGTTACCACAGAGATGCATCAACTTTATACATCAATTAACAGTTGTAAAACTCAGACACTTGGCCCTGTATGTGTCTGTCTCCATGAATCTCTTTCTCTGCAGCCAGCACCTGCCTCAGTCTCTCCAGCTCCTCCCTCTCTCTCCGAAACTCCTCTTTTGCCTTATACAGATCCTCCCTCTCCTTATTTAACTCTTCTCTCTCCTTCTGGAGCTCCAATTTAGTATTCTCAAGCTCCTCTTTTTCTCTCTTCAGTCTGTGATGTTCATCCTCCTGTTCACGTTTCTGATTCTGGAGCGCACGCCTCTCTGCTTCTAACTCTCGGATCTGCTGCATTAATTCCCTCTGTTGCTGTAAACTTCGGCCCTCCTCCTGCTGTACGCGCCTCAATGCTTCAGTCAGCTCCCGCTCTCGCTCCAGTATTTTACGGCCATCAGACCAATCAACACCTGACGGAGAAAGTTAACACATGATTCATAAATGATCAATGTTTTGTCAAAGCTACTTTAGAGTTCAAATCTACTGTAAAACAGTACAAACAAGAACAAGCTTAGAAACTAAGAAAAAAACTACTAACTTTCATGTTTAAACAAAGATTCAGAGATAAAGTGCAAAAATAAGGCTAATACATTAAAGTTCTGGTACTATGGGATCCATCCATTTATAAGATTTTTTTATCATACTAGTTCACACTATCTTTTTTAAAATTCAGGTTAGAACCAAAAGTATATAAGGTAAAAATAAGTGAAATGCTGCAACACAACTGACCTGTACCTGAATATTTGTCAGTGATGCTACTGTTAAGCGGTGACTGGACATTACGATTTGATGACACAGTACGACTTTTGGCAGGACTTGGGGGGCAATAATCTGGATCCTCAGGTTTGCGTTTTGTGGGCCGTTTCTGAGGATGCTCTTCTAGCTGTGCATACTCAGTAGGATGCTTATTCTGCAGGTGCCTGATGAGGTTGCTGGTGCTACTCTGGTGCTGAATCTTCTCCATGCAGAGCAAACACAAAGCTTTCTTTTCCTGATCCACCTTCCGGTAGTGCACCCACACTGCACTCCACTTGCGAGTAGTGGGTGTAAGTGGCACTGGGCTGCCCTCTTGTGCACCTTTACCCTCTCCTTCACATCCAGACACCTCCCCCTCTGTTGTTCCTTCTCCTGCAGCGGCACAGAGGATTCCCCTTATGGCTCCGTCCATCTCAACCTCGCCCACCTCGTTCTGTACCTCTACTTGTTGCTCATCCATCATTACTGTAACTAAGCAAAGAGAGGAGGAAAAAAAATAAGTGCTAGTAAATGCAGTACCCTTCATAACCTCCAATTCAATTAGACAACAGTAGGGAGTGCAGTTTATTTATAGGTTTTGCCTCAAAAGGACAGAAATTGATTGCCTCTAACTGTGTAACAAAACACTATCACAGATGAACGCCCAGGAAGAAAATCGAGACAGTACAGTGTCTAAAAACTCAATCACATTGTTTTTATCCAACACGAATGTTTAAAGCATAAACACAATATATAAAATGATGTGCAAAAACGTACAATAATACCTGCCATATCGTACGTAACATGTAATTTTGCTAGGCTAACACAAAGTTAAATGTTAGCATACGCAGAATGAACATTCGATTCGGTTGTTCTAAAGAATCGATTCGTTATATTCACTAGCGGATCGAATCACTACCTGCGGATCAGTCCTGCTGTGATTGAATATACCTAGCTACGTCCCTTGTCGCCGGATTGTTTTGCCAACCAGCTAGCTTTGTGCTAATCGTTGTGCTATTTGCGCTAATCTTGGCGCCAATAATTAGCTTAGCCAGCTGCTAACCTACTACGGACATGAGGCTGACACAGGCCAAGAGCCCATAAAAAACGCGTCACATACATGTAGCAAAACTAGTGATTTCTTCATGCTATTAAATGCTAAAAAGGCTGGGTTAGAAAACGGTGTCTGGTCAGCTAAGAAACTTCAACAACCCAAACCTTCTACACAGCCATTGTTGTTATTGTTGGATGCTGCTTTTACGGCGGTGGCTTTCCTCTTATCCAAAGCGGAGAAATCATTCGGGTGTTTCGCTCGTAAATGGCGAAGCATGTTCGTTGTGTGACCAAAATACAAAACGGTCTTCATACAGAGGAGACATAGTACTCTTTTGTCGTCCTCAGCTTGGAAAAACGACCACACTATACTTCGTTTTCGTGCCGCCATTTCTGAGTTGGTTTTGTTCTGAACACTTGACGATCCTGTTTTACTGCCCCCTTCAGGGTCGGCGGACTGTAGGTGCTCGGCTGTAGCAGCGACTCGATGAACGCTGGCTCTGCTGGGGCGGAGCTAAACGATCAGTGCTGACTTAGGGACTAGAAGTGAATGTTTCAGTTACATTAAATTAAATTAAATTAGAGAAAATTAAGCTATTAGCTACGTTGTATTTTCAGCATTTATTGTAATTTATGTCATAGAACAAAGAGCCTTATTCACCAAACGTTCTTAAGAAGAAATGACTTCTTAAAGCCCATTTATGTAGTTTTTACGAAGATTCTGATATTCACCAATGTTTGCTTATGTGAGATATTATCTCAACATTGCAACTGTTTACAGAACGCCCCCCCCCCTTCAATAAAAAGAGCTATCAGATGGTAGTTTTGCCGTGAGAAGGGAACGGCCACCCTTGTTGTCAAGCTTTGCGCAAGCGCAGTAGCCAGAATGTTCTGGCAAAATACTAGCTAGTGATGTTCATGTTTTCAGTGCAAGTCAATGGAAAATGTTTCACTTTTTAATTGTATGAAACTCATCCATCATTAATAAATTGTTCAAAGGGCCTTTCAAAGGAGAGATCCTGAGGCTGGGCCATCTACAAGTCAAGAAACCACCATATCACAAACTGAGATGAAGAAAACGAAGCAGATATCCAAATGATGTGAATACAGAAATGAGTAGCATGTGCTTGTCTTCACGTGCATAGCAACGGAAAATAGTAACTACCGCTCTGTGCTGTTTGCTCAGAGGCCTTTCCAAATGTATCTCTGAAACCCAACAACTTAGACCATCACTTGGAAACTAAACATAGTCTCTAAACCTATCAAATTGTGCCAGAACTGTTTGCAACTTTCCTCTCTTCAGCCTGACATCCAGTGCTCAGCTCTATTTAGGTGAATCAGAAAAAAACAATTAGATCTGTTAAATCTTGTGGGCCGTGGAAGCTTTTGTGGTTGTTTTTGTGTGCTGCGAGTTGTAAGAGGTTGGGAACCCCTGGTTTAGGCTGTTAGCTATCTTTTAGCTTAGTTGTTAAGAAAATAAGTTCTCAGCACCTTAACCAGTTTAAACAAAACTGAGTTTATACTTAATCTAGGCCTATCAACATACTCAGTCCCATAGAATAATCCCCACAGAATAATAACAATCCATTCACAGCACAATGATCTTTTAGTGTTTTTAATACAGAATTCAGTTCTTGTGAAGTGAGACACAGATGTGTGTACATTGAATATTTTTGTTATGGCTAAGACTGTGACACAAATTTTAGGACCAGAACTATCCATTTTACTTCATCTACTACCTTCTCCCTAGGAGGTATTACCAAGGTTATCAGTATAAGTACTAATACGGATACTGTTAATACTTTCTTATGCATGTAGAAAGGGGAATTCTTTGCGATTTCTGAAGTAAAAAACAGTAAATTTGGATATTTAAAGGCCTGTACTTTGGTGTTGTGTGTGCAGAGGAGAAGAGATTCACATTTATTTGCTACATTGATTTTTTACTTTTTCAGTATTCAATAAATTGTGTTGCTTCAAAAAGACATTTAATTTACTGCTTAAAGAACACAGTATCAATATTTTCATAAAAACTCTTAAAAAGAATTAGAAATATTGCTCCTTCGGTATCAATTTGTCCACCCCTACTCCTTTCAGGCGTGTATTATGCAGTGAACGACAGTTGGGGCAACTTTGGGAACACTTGGTTAAAATTATTTGTACATAATTTATAAAACATTGTCAGGTGTTTGCAAGTTATGAAGGTCTTATAATATGGAGTCTTTATCATGCAAGAGGAGGCAAACAGCTCTTATGCAGGCTGAATATGGGGCATAGACTACTGGATACATTTATTGTGCTAGAAAATGGGTTTAGCACAGGCAAGTATGAATCAAAAGCATTTGAAATACAAATGCCATTGGCAATACAGTGGACAGATAAGGTACACATAAATTTTAGAGGTATTCCTAGCATAATTACAGTTACTTGGCTATGAAGGACCAACAGGGTGAACTAATCTGCTATAGCGCCACCCTGAGGCAGACAAGTGCTGCACCGTTGATTAAGAATAACAAAGACAGAAGTTTGGCAGTTGTGAAGTAGGATAAAAAATGTCCTTTCCCTGAATTTGTTTTTGAGTTTATGTTTTTCCCTAATGAACAGCAGAACTTCATAATAAGTTACTTTTCAGAGACCCCCTGTATTATGCACCTTGGTTACAGAACTGTAAGATGTCTTAGGCCAGTTATTCTGACACTAGACTAAGGAAGATAGCAGACTGAATGGAGCACGCCTGCTTTTCCAAAACTCATGGAAACTTACGTGACATGCAGAGTAGACGACAAAGCATTCTGGGAGTAACAGATATACAGGTATATAAGAACAAGTTGTGTAACGTGTGGTATTTTATTCAGATGCAGCCACAAGAGGTGTTATGTCTAGTTTACAACCACCAATTTAAGCTTTGAAGTGCGAAAAATCCACAAAAGTTTAATACGTTTCACTGAAACTGTGCAAGTGTTGCTGCTCTGTCTCGTTTATTCCCAGAATTTGTCATTTCTTGTATTTTCAAAAACGACACCCATTTTACACAAAGTGCATGATTCAGCCAGGCCACATTCTTCGTTTATTTTTATCATGGCCTACAGGTTAGAGTTAGTGTGATTAGGTTATCTAATCACATGGAGCTTTTGAACTGCCTGTTGCTTTTGATTGATGAACTCCTCTACATTCACATGATGCATACATAACAAGAGCCAAAAAAGTGGATTTGATGGTTTGCTTGGCCAAAAAACAAGACTGGACCCTAATTTATAGCAAGTAATCATAATTTAAAACAGTCACAATACTGGTCTAAAAGGGAGCTATTGCCCCAAATTGTTCTGCCATACTGTATAGTCTAATTTCGGTGTACACACACAAATGCATTAAAATATTTAGTTTAATTAGGAAAGCATTTATTAAACCATAAAGTTAAACAGTTAACTAAGCCTATCTTCTCTAGGTATCTTAAATACACACAAATAAGTGCAGACAATGATACAAAGCCTGAAATAACACAAATATATTCGGCAACTTTTGTGCAGCTTATTAGAAGTCAGCTTCTAATACACCACCAGTAGACTATTACTTACAGCAAGCGGTACACAGATCTATCTTAGATGTTTTTAAAGAAGTCTTCTCAGTTCAATAAAAATAGGAATTCCACCAACACATAGTTCAATTTGTGGGATGTAAAGAAAGTCATTTAGAGTGGTCTGATGTGAAATACTTTATTCTGAAGTGCTTAGATTCAGAAGAACCAGGAAACAGGGGTCACACTATCTACAACACAAATACAGCCACTGCCCAAAACTAACGTGATTTTGGCTTAAAGACATTTATGTTTCGTACCTGCAAACAATAACTAAGGCATCAGGCAGCTTATTTGTAACCATTTCATGCAATAACTTTGTGATGTACCTTTTACAGAAAGTAAATTCTGGTTCCTATTACCACTGCTGTGAACAAGTTTCTCTAGATCAGCAAATTTCACAGGAGACCACTCTGAATGACTTTGTTTAAATCTTAACCATTTAATTATGCAGAAAATTGGTGAAAAACCCTTTCAACGAAGCATGGCTTCGTGTTCACAAATAAAATGAGCACACTAAAAACACAGTTTATCAATATTAAAACATTATGTCTAAATCCTTTATGAACATTTATTTATAATCTTTAACATGTGTAAATAAAATAATATAAAAAAGGAATTTTTCACAGTTAAACTTTTAGACTAATTCAGAGTACACAGAAGTCTTGCTTCCAGTAATATAACTCCAGTGTTTCTTCAGTCCTAGACAAAATAAAACAAGAGGTTTTTAACCCTAAAATATTTTAAGCTTCATAGTAAGTTAATCAGTCTCAGTTTTTATGTGTTGTTTAAATGAAATAGACCAGTTGGCAAAAGCCACAGACTTTTCAGTGTAAAGGCATGCAAGCCATGTTGGGTAGAAACAGGAAAAAAAAAAAAGTAGCACGTTAGTTAAGAGGGGTTCTGTGGTTATGGTTTGGATCTATATCCTGGGTCCTGACTTCCACAGCTTCCCACTCTCCAGTGCGGTTTGACCGTTTGATAGCATCAACAACCGTCTGAACATACAGCCCATCCTCGAAAGTAGCCGCCATGGAAACTGGATGCCGTGCCCATGAGCGCCTGTCTTCCTGCGCCTGGAAAGACAGACGGAGCTGAGTCACCATAGCATTCAGTCCTGTGACAGATGGTCCAGCGCCGGACCCACTGTCGCTCAAAAGAATTTCCTCCTCATGTGTGCCATTTTGTTGGCCGTACAGCTCAGTCCCCCTGGCAACTAGTCTCCCAGATGACCCCACCAGCATAACCTCATGCAGGTCAGCACCTGGGAGGTTAAAGTTCAGTGTCACACTACAGACCACACCCCCACCCATCAGTAGCTGAAAGCAAGCATAATCGTCAGCAGTCACAGAGCGGATCCCGCCTCCAGTGCTACCCTGACGCACAAAGGTCCGCAGCATTCCATGTACACGAACAGCCCGGCCCCCTGTTAAGTGGCTCAGGAGGTCAATAATGCAAGAACCGACTGTGTGCAGGCCACCGCCCCCCATCAGCTCCTCCCATGCCCAGCCATATGACTGACTAAGCAGAGAGCCTCCATATACACGTGCTTCACACACCTGTCAAAGGAAAGAGAGATAATATGTTGGTTATGCCTACTACACAACTGTGCCTTTCACAAATGACGGATCCACTACTGGTCAAGGCTGGGTTTCCCAAAAGCATCTTAACACAAAGATGATTCTTAAATGGCAGTGTGAGCATCCCAATAAACACTCTCCTCACCAATTTATCTGATCTTTACACTAAGATGCTTTTGTGAAAGTAAGCTCTGTTCATGAGGACATTTTGCTACAACTAGTGATGTGCACTGCTACTCAAGTACTCGATAAACCCCTTGAGGTGCGATTGAAATTAAATGAAATTAAATGAAGGTTAATGTCAGAATTTTTGATGATCCCCCCAATGTCATTTGATGTACCCCTAGGGGTATGCATACCACAGTTTGGGAACCACTGGCCTAGGCTACTTCACCTGAGGTGACTGTTTTAATGATTACTAGTCACTATAAAACACAAGTGCCTTAATACAAGCACATTACCAAGGACGTCTTGTTAAGAAAGTGACTGAGAAGGTACAGATAGCGCAGCCAGCCCTGGCATGGCTTTTTCACAAAAACTTAAGCTGATGTTAGCTAGGCCCAGAAACAGTGAAAAGATATTTCTCTAACAAACTAACATATTGGCACTAAGTTAACTAACATGTCCACTGAGGAGAAAAGACTGCGTGTAGAAGACGACAAGCTCTCAGCAACTCATTAACTTATTTAAAGAGGCAGGCTCTGTAAGTCAGCCGACACAAAAACCTACCGATTTCTCACAGCTACTTGGAATAATAAAACGTTTTTTAGATTTTAACCTCCCAACACCAGAGTTCTCATCTAAAGCATAATCCTTTTTTTTGTTTTTGTTGCTGCTTTTCTCTTCCCTACGATTCACTGGAAACCTGTTCCTTAACTCTTATGGACAGCAGCGAAATTCTGTTCATACCTGCAATGTCCCACAGTAACCCTCCCCGAGAAGACGTTTCATCAGGACAAAAGCAGGAAGGAAGCGCAGTGCATTGCTCATGATGCTCATCAACTGAGGGTAATACCGTGCTGCTGTCACCATCTTACAGGCATCTGTTAACGTGGCGGCCTGCTCGCTGATCACATTCTTTCCTATCCCTACGAACAAGGACAATAAAGAGCAACAACTGATTACGAAATCTAAGTACTTCTATCAGTTAATATAAATCTTTAACACAAGTAATAAGGAAAACTGAAGTTTTTAGTTAATAACTTCATTATTAAGTACAACCCAATTTCCAAAAAAGTTGGGACACTGTGCACAATGTGAATAAAAATAGGATGCAATGATATGCAAATCAAGTGAACCATATTTTTAAAGGAAAATACTACAAAGACAACATATCAAATGTTGAAACTGAGAAATATTTATTGTTTTTTGAAAAATATATGCTCATTTTGAATTTGATGCCAACAACACGTTCCAAAAAAAATTGGGATTGGGGCATGTTTACCACTGTGTTTCATCACCTCTACTTTTAACAACACTCTGTAAGGATTTGGGAACTGAGGAGACCAATTGCTGTAGTTTTGAAAATGAAATGTTTCCCTTTCTTACTTGATATATGATTTCAGCTGCTCAACAGTTCAGGGTCTCCTTTGTCGTATTTTTCATTTCATAATGTGCCAAATGTTATCAATGGGTGACGGGTCAGGACTGCAGACAGAGCAATGCTGTTGCAATACATGCAGAATGTGGTTTGGCATTGTCTTGCTGAAATAATCAAGGCCTTCCCTGAAAAAGACGTTGTCTGGATGGCAGCACATGTTGCCAAAACATGTATATATCGTTCAGCATTAATGGTGCCTTCACAGATGTGCATGTCACTCATTCCATGTGCACTAATGCACCCCTATACCATCATGAATACTGGCTTTTGAACTGTGAACTAATAACAAGCTGGGTGGTCTTTAGCCCGGAGGACCCTCAGTTTTAAATGAGCTCCAGCCCAGAGAAGGTGGTGGCATTTCTAGATCCTGTTTATGTACAGTTTCTTCTTTGCGTTTTAGAGTTTTAACTTGCATTTGTGGATGCAGCAACAAACTGTTTTCACAGACAATGGAAATTTTTCTGAGCCCATGCAGTGATTTCCTCTACAGAATCATGTCTGTTTTTAATGCAGTGCCGCCCGAGGGTCCAAAGATCACTGCCAGCAAACACTGGTTTTCAGCCTAATCCCTTGCACACACAGATTTCTCCAGATTCTCTCTCTCTTTTAATGTTATGATGTACCATAGATGATGAAAAGCAAAAGTTCTTTGCTATTTTATGTTGAGAAACGTTATTCTTGAATTGTTGCACTATTTGATTGTGCAGTCTTTCATAGAGTGGTGAACCCCTCATCATCTTTACTTCTGAAAGACTCGGCCTCTCTGCGATGCTTTTTTATACCCAGTCATGTTACTGACCTGTTGCCAATCAACCACCTGGTGTTTTCTTTAGCATTACACAACTTTACCAGCCTTTTGTTGCCCCTGTCCCAACTTTTTTGGAACGTGTTGTTGGCATCACATTCAAAATGGGCATAGCAAATGTTGAAAAATATACGTTCCCTTTGTTTTAATTTCAATTAAATATAGAGGTTAAATGATTTGCACGTCACTGCATTTTGCTTTTATTTCCATTTTGCACAGCATACCAACTTTTTTGGAAATGGGATTGTAAAACAGGCAGCGAGTTCCCTCACTGATTGCTGTGGACAAAGGTACTGAGCTTCTGACAACATTCTTTGGAACACATCCTATCAGTATGATCTTTTCATTCCCTTGAGCTCAAAGAATGTCGAGGAAACATTCTATAAACATTGGGAGAACAATTCACTGCAGCTACGGCTCTGGTGAAATAAGCGCCTGGGTGGGGTCCAGGAAGGAACCCAACCTAATCCGCTCAGTGCACAGATATGAGCCTAAAGAAAATGACAGAAGCATGTAAAGTCTCACCTAAAGCTTTCACTGCAATCTGGCGAGTATATGGGGGCGGTGTAAGTATGCACACAAGGTGAACCTCTGGATGCAACAGGACATCATCCGACTGGCTGGTAGAGAAGGGGATGTCCAGCTCATTAGCCAAGCACTCTGCTTCTTCCTGAGTCCGGCCCCAGACAGCTTGAACAGGAAAGCCTTCCTTTTGGAGCAACGGCACCAGAGCACGCACCGTCCGACCAGTCCCAAACACACCCACACCCGGCAACATTCTGCTCACACACATTCAATAAAAACAATCACAAGCCTAGTAGTCTTACTCTTCCTCAGCCACTATGTGCATCCCATCTGAAATCAAAGCTTCAAGCAGTTGGTGGGGCAACCTGAAGAAAGAGGACATATTTAGGTTACACAACGTACAACCATGTAATCAAGTCAACTAACAGAAATATGTAATAGTGCTGTAACTAGTTAAAATAAAAGACAAAAAGAACGCTTTAGAACTCAAGAGTAAGCATATGGAGGTAAACAGATTACATGGTTTGTAAAAAGTATGAAACCTGTTACCACTTGGACACTGCTCGTCAGAGACAGGTCTAGGCGGAACCAGATCCCCTTCACAACAAGCTAAATTAAGCCCAGCCTTTTCAGATTATAAGATAATAGGCAACACAACACATTCTGTAGATAAGTTATCCTACAATACAGCTGTCACTGAAACGCCTATGACTTGCTTTTTCCCCTCAGGCCATGCTAGACTACCATCTGTCAGTGTTGGCTAACTCAGTCATTTACATTTGAAAGCCTGTGCACTTGCCTGTGACGAACAAATAAGTCAGGTTTCCTTCCCCCTAACTCATGGATATTAGCACCCAGTGTTGTTCACACAAATCAAAACACACATACCTAACATATTTTATCACCACGTTTACCGACTAGGGATGTAGTCACTTTTTGCTTCGCAATACTGCTTTTTCCCGAAGTAAACAGTAGTGCTACACATTCAACGAGAGCGTTGTTATTAGCTAGCACTGCTTCACGTTACATGCGTTACAAAATTAAGCTAATTCGCAGTACCTAAGTAACACGCTAGTAGCACGTTGCTGGAAGAAGAAAGTTAACCAGTACCTTTCCACACAAAAAATGAAATCAGTCTAGTTCTTGTCAGTCAGCAGCAAGTTGAACAAATCGGTGAATAGTTATCACAACTAGCTAGCCACAGCTTGTTTTGTGCGACTTATTGGATGCTGTCACCCTGCCCTGCCTTGTCAGCCACAGGTAAGAGTCTGTGTTTACTCACCGAAACAAAACCTGTTTACGGAGTCTGAGAACGTAAAAGCCGCTCCGTTCGGATCGCTAACAAGCAGACTGTGAGCCTGGCAGGCCACCTCCCTCAGGATCGGGACAAGGGGTCGCCTTGTGAACTAGCCATCCCGCTCACGGCACGAGGAAAAACAGGCCAGACCCGTTACGGCTGTCCCATTTTTAAGTTCCTTTCTTTCTCATTCTCAAAGTCAACCTTTCCTCAAGCCGCAGTGTACTAGCTACTTCTCATTCGTGGGGCCGGCGAATGGTTCAGCAATGTGTTCTTCTCAAAGGGATCCACCTCACAGCTCTCACCGTCCTCAGACACAAACGATGACCATTTGCGCAAGCGCATCTCCCGTATTTGCATATTGTCTTCGTCACGCCCATTGCGAATACATACGAATTCAATTTGTAATTTGATATATATATATATTATATATTTATATATATATATATTATATATATATATATTATATATAATGCATATGTATACTGCATCACTGCATAACAGAGACCCATCTGACCATATCACTTTTTCCCCCTCACATCTCTGTAGACCAGTGTCTATAGCTTTAGCACCACTAAACACTCAAATGTGCCGTCTTTGTAATGAGTGATTTAAACACTCTAATCCCACTTTACAGTCTAATCATACCCTGCGTTGACATTCACCTGAGGAACAGTTGCTTTTTCCTCGTGTACATCGCACTAATTCAGTCATTGAATGTGCCCTTTCGAACATAATTTGTAATCATTAATATTTAATTGATTTATTGATCATAGATGTAGATGTCACTTTTGTTGCTGTATTATTGCAATACCAACCAGCTGAGCAATGTTTGTAACTGAAGCTCCTGCCATCTGTGCCCCGATTCACAAACTTTCTTTCACAGTAACTTCTCTTACCTTCCTGAACCAAAAAGGAAGTAAACTGGGCCTGCTCAGCATTGCCAGGTATGCCACAGAACATGGTAGAATGTTAGTTATATGAGGCATTTCATCTGTCTGGAGGCATCTGCACTCATTATGTTTCCCCACTCATTTATTCAGGTTTTTCCTGTAACTTGTCACCTATCTGTACTGAGGAGTGTTTAGCTGTGTTTAGTTTAGAGTGTTTCAAGGTGGTGGTATATAAAAATATTGTGATAAGTACACATACAGTAATAAATAAAATGGGCATGTTAACTGAACACCTTTATTTTACAAATTCTTTTTGAACAAGTTTTCTAATTTTCAGTGACATATTGCAGAAAACAGGACATCCAAAAACAATAATGACATTAACCAACATGTAAATGAGACATTGAAAATGAAAAAAACAGCTATTTGGAGGAAACAAAAAGAAGAGCAAAGAAGATGGTGTGGAAGATTTATCTCCTTTGATTAGGAACGACTTTGTTTCCGCTGGTTGCCACTGGTATGAGAAGCTTCCTATACTCAAGAGGGAGGAACTTCTCAATCAATACATTGACTGGGGTGCTGTCCGTCACAAAACCCTGTCTATAAAAGACGCACAAACGCATTATTCATATGTAGCCTTGTTATGTTAGGTTGTTATGTATCCGGATATATTTTGTCTTGAACAGGAAAAACCTATATATATCATACTTCTGTCCACACAAAAACAACTTTGATCACTGAAGACTGAGGCCTTTGAAATGCTGCCATCAAGCTGTTAACTTGCAAATGCCTGCTACTGTAAGCAGGCAGAACTCCATCTGGAATATGGCTGATGACCAGATTGTTTTGGTGTACTCAGCAATTTGAGGGTGATGACATGTTTATAAGTGAATTAAGCTTTAGTCAGATTATATCTTACTACATAATTCAAATTGAAAAGTTAAAAATAGTACAAAACTTCTTTGCTGATCAGGGCTTTGTGGAAAGGGAGATTTTCAAAAGTGCTGTTATTGTGGAGGGGGGTGGGGAATTAAATAAAAATAAAAAACAAAACCCATTTCCAAAAATATCCAGATACATACGTACATGGTAATAGACTCTCAACATACCTTCTCATGAGAAGTTCAACATCTTCAACCTCAATGGTTTTCCTCTTTGCATGAGCAGAATATGCCTCCAAATCATCCGCTAGACGATCAAAGTATTTCTGCAGTCTGTCACATGAGATGCACAAACAAACGTGAGCACTCACAAACTTATATTGAATCAAAACTCTTTCAAACTGACACACTTTATCATAAAATATATCAAATGTTAGCTTACATTTCGTTGATGACTGGGTAGACATCACTGGCCACCTTGGTTTTGGCAAAATGTTTAAACATACTCATAACATAACTCTTTGGAAGGATATCAGAGGTAGTCCGATTCTTCTGTTTAGGGCGAGGCTTCACAACCTTTGGGGCAGGGCTGAAATAAATACCAGTCAGAGATGTTTTCTAATAGAGGAAATCTAAATACAAATACAACAGCACTGAAAATTACAAATCAATTACCCAGTGTTCAAAACTTTAAGCACTGTGGCTGTGTGCAGTGTGCTGGGAGTTGGTACTTCCTTCCTTTGTCTAATGAAAGCAGGAGTTTGCATAGACAGCTCTAGAGGAATATAAACACATATATATGAACACACACACACAGGTATGTTCAGTAATACCAAAAACGTTTATTGTACTGTTGTCTTGTGAGTGGTAGCGCCATACCTTCACTATATGCGTCTTCCTCCTCTTCATCATCTTCTTCCTCTTGCTGCTCCTCCTTGTCAGCAGGAAAGTCTGGGGTGGGGCTGTGATGGACAGGAGATGTCACAATATTTTCATCTTCTGACATGCTAATATCTCCTTGAGTAACACCTTTCACTTCATCATCTTGAACTTCTGCCAAACAGGTCTGATGCATCTCAAATGATTTTCTAGTATTTCCTTGAGTATGATCTTCCACTTCATCAACCTGAACTTCTGCCAGACTGGTCTGATGCATCTCAAATGATTTTCTAGTATTTCCTTGAGTATGATCTTCCACTTCATCAACCTGAACTTCTGCCAGACTGGTCTGATGCATCTCAGATGAAGAGGGCTTCAGAGTGGGGGATGTGGATGTTGAGGCAGGGTTGACATATGGTTCCTTATCCAAGTGAGGTAACTCCTCTGCAGCACTTGCATTAGTAAAACTTTGCAGTTCTACAAAACAAACAAACAAACAACACAATTATCTTCAGATTTATTCAAAACTAGCAATTACAATGAAATTCTGACTCATTCTCACCTTTACCTGTGGGATACAGTCCCGCCCCAAGACTTTTAGTGCCTCTCTCTCTTTCTGTTATTCCAGCCATGACTGTTCCACCCTCTGAGTGGTAGGCTCTCCGAATGATTCGCTCTAATACTTGTGATGGAAGTTCCACCACTGTAAGGCTGTCCTTCTCACTTTCTCTCATCTCAATTTTTTCCACCTCTGATTCCTGTATGTCAGACTCTTTCCCCTCATATTCCTGAATCTGAGGGGCAGGCTCTGTCATTGCCTGAGTTGGTGCAAATGGCAACTCCTCAGGACTCAAACTGACTGCCTCATTCTCTTGTGATGAAGGTATCACGTTCAGCTCCTCCTTTTCTTCCTGTATCTGAGAGGCTGTTTCTGGGCCTTCCATTTCTTGGAAGGGTTCAGGCTCAGTTTCACAGATTTTGCTCAAATGCTCATTTTGTTTGTCTTGATGATCATCCACTACTTGCTCCTCTTGATAGTCACCTCCCACTTTTTCTTCATCATCTCTCCTTCTGTCAGTCTCAAATGCTTTTTCACCCTCATGTCTGCCCACCTCTGGAGGCCCATCATTATCCTCTTTCAGCACAGATGCAGAAACAGTTGGCTGGAGGTAGAGTTCTGTGTTGCTCATGACAATGTCTGTGGTGAGGTCAGGCACTGTGACATTGCTCAGTCCAAGAGTGAACTTCTGCCAATCAGAATCTCCAAGAGTTTTTCCATCCTGTACTACTGTATAATCTAAGAAAGAAAAAGAAGAGGAGAGTTGTGCAAGATATGAGGAGAGGATATATAACGGGGAATGAACATGCTCGTAATGTTTGTACCTTGATTGCAATGCCTCTCAAAGCGTTTCTGGACAGCCTCGTCAAACGCATCCACAGAAGGCTGCCTTCGACTGGCTGCCTTTCGCCGTAAACCTACCCTCTCAGACTGAATGTTCATATATGGAGTCTTCAAGGTGAGGCTCAGAACACTGCCAGACGCAGACAAACGATGCATTAAATGATGCACAGTAAAGTAGACTAGTTCACCTCAATCACAAAAATCACACTTTACCTCTTACATCCAGCAGAAAGATCCTGTTCCACAGTCACATCTGTATTTTCCTGAGTGACATCATTCTCTTCTTCACCTTAAGAAAATTGGAAAAGCCCTGTGTGACGTTTGGGTGTTTTTGGGTAAGCTGGGTATAATTTATTACAGCAATCATACAAACTAAGGGCACAGCTTGACTTTAGTCCTGCTGGGCCAGATATGATCTCATAGCGAGAATACATGTATGGGGGGCAACTATTAAACTTTTTAAGGACATTTTTAAGCCGCCAGTGACCAATAAAGAGCAAATTTGATATGTCAGTGTTTCCTATACATTAATTTATTTGTGGCAGCCCACTACATATTGATTTTCTTCTTCTTTTTTTAATATTTAAAAGGGTAAAATCTTATTTCATTGTATGCTGCGCATGGCACTGCTGCGCATGGCACTGTTTCACTCAACCCCACACTCTCTCTCACACAAACACACTGACAACAGACCCGTCTATGCCCCTTCTCTGCATGTACTCTAAATCAAAACATGAGGGATTTCTCAATATGCGTTCTTCTCTGTTCTAGCATTCCCCATGGGAACGTCATCAGTCACAGCCTAATTACTGTTCCAATTTATGCGCAAGAAGAAGGATTGTTGTTTTTTGTTGAACTACTTTCTTAACACAACACTGTCAATGGCAGAGACCCAATTTGTCAAATAAATTGTTAGCAAGCATGTAACGACTCTAGCTAGTCTAAACTAAGCTAAGGTTAGAATACAACTGGGTTGTCGAGGTTAGCATGTACATAGCTGTCAATCAATTCTGACTGCTTGTGCACATGGATAACTTGAGTGGTGGAGAGAAAAAGAGACAGTGTCTGTATGTGTCTAAGTGAGGGAGAGAGAGGCAGTGAGACTGTGTATGTGTGTGAGTGTGAGGTACAGAGAGAACCTTTGTATGTGTGGGAAAGTGAGGGAGAAAATAGTTATACACAAAGTTTTTTAATTATTAATATTATTCAGTTATTTAAATAAAGTACTTGGCAATTAAAATGCTTGCACTGGAGCACATTATTGTGTTATTATAGTATTATTTGATAATTTAGGAACCCCCCCCCACCCTGGTAAGCTACCACTACAAATAAAATCTAATTCTACAGGAAACACTGTAAGTCTAATTATAGGCAGCCATTGGGTACCTGTTTGTTGGTCCAGCTGTCTCTCAAAAGCTGACACATTGAAGGTGGGCGGTGGCCTCCTACGACTCATCCCCCTAATCACAGTACTTAGTGGCTCTGTGACTAAGTCAGGCAACTCAAGACCAGATGGTCCTTCACTGGGAACATATAGAGCACAATCCAATAAAATGAGGGTACCAAACATTCCCATCTCATTGTTAATGTAGCTATTGCAAGTCTTAACCCCCCTATTATCTTTGGGTTCAATCTGACCCCATTCAACACTTAACTTCTCTAAATAAATTACATTTTTTGCCTCATATTTAATGACTTTTCCTAGTTTACTGGGGACAACTGGGTAAACATTGCTTTCAATGGGGACAACTGGGTAAACATGCTTTCAATGTCCTGTACAGATTTTACACGCATTGGGTTTTATTTGAGGTCAACATTTTAAACACATTTGTGTTGGGTCTTTTGAATGATATTGAGGATACTACAACATTTCATAATCTACAAATAAATAAATACATAAATAAATAAATAAAACTTCTGCCCTCTGCTCTGGGTAAAACATAATTCCGACTAGAACTTTGATATTTCCCACTCTGTCAGGACAGGGAAATATAGTTCCAGCGAGAACACGGATAGCTCACACAACAGAGGGGAAGAGCAAACATATAGTGGTATCAGCCACAAATCATGCTACCGTGAAGAACTCAGGAAGTGTGGGTATGCAAAGTAGCTCCCGATAAGAAAAGGACAGTTATTGTTCTGTTGTTGTTGCTGTTAGTGTAGTTATTTTGCTTCTTGTATGTTGTGTCCTCCTGCATTAGCCCCGTCTGTATTTTGTGTTAGAGTATGCAGCATTTCTTGCTGCCTGTTGCAGTGCCTGTTCAAATAAAAGACCATTCATCTATATGTGCCATATATACCGTATCTTCTTCTACGCCGATGCCACAGTGGTGTCAGAAGTGGAACATGAATGAACCCAAACTCAAACTCAACAAACTCAAAAGGCAGACAATGAAGAAGACCAAGCCCAGCAGAAGATGGCAAAGCAAACAGCACAGCGAGGCTCTGCAGCAGCCGTCCACCATTGGCAGAGCAGAAGAGCGCGCCCAGAGCGGATAATGCCAAGGAGCCGCTGAGCCAAGGACATGGCCCCGAGAGTGCACTGGGAGCATGGACCGGGAACTCTGCTGGCCTGGACTCTGTGCACCCCAGGGACTTTGTTCAGACTGTGTGGGTTGCCAGGACAGCTGACCCTTGAGGGGAGGGATGTCATGTAATAGGTATTTCGGATGTATGAGAGGGGTATGTTTTATTTAAAAGGCTATTGTGGCAGTCAACAAAGAAACATTAAATACCTGATACATACACTTTAGTAACAAATTGAAAAATCATTTTCTGCAGGTTTAAATTGCTGGGGTCAAATTGAAGAAAAATGTTAGTAAATTTGAAGATAACAAGAGGCAACATTGAGTCTTAAGTAGGATTTGCTGCTGTTGGACACATGCCTACCTCTGTCTGTTGCTATGGAGGCTAGTCTCCACAATTTGCTGGTTGGCCTCTGGTACCGCAGGCTGACCAGATAGCAGCAGAGATGCCTCAGCCTCTGAAAGGCAGACCCCATGAAAGTCAACAACAACAAAAACATCTAGCAATGTAGACCCAGCTTAACAGACATCAGGCCACTCCAGCAAAATATGCTCACCTGTCTGGATGATGCCCCTGAGCAGACCACGAGGTGTGATGTCCTCATCATACAGCGAGGATGAAGCCACTGCTGGTGTCTTCACAGTTCGGCTCTGTGACCTTGGCCTTTTGCTGGGAGGGAGTGGTGACTGAGTAGCACTCTGAATGGGAAAACTGAGCTTTAATTTAAGGTGTACACTAAAAAAAATACTATATAAAAAGGTTCTGTTCTCTGTTCTGACCTATACAATCAGAATATTAAGGCTACCTGAAAACGAACACAAGAATGGTTTAAATTATCCCATCACAGCCTAAGAAATGCTTCGAAAGTGTGCACTGAAATGATTATGAACTATCCATGAAATCAATCCTGATAGTTACTTTGAACATTTCAGTGGCTGCAAGCTATTTAAACCTGAAATATCCAAATGATACACAGAGACAAATATTCAACTATGAGAATATACAGTCTGCATTTCATTATGGAGGACTATCAATGAGACCTGCAAGCAGAGTTAAACAGCTGTCAACCAAGACAAAAGTGAAAGAAACTGTCATTCCCTCAGTGTTTTTGAAAGATTAACTCGCCAGCATCTCAAACGCTGCTTGAGAAAATAAAATGCTCAATTCCGAGGTGAGAAACTTGTTGTACTTTGGTGAACTTTATCAGCAACAAGACTAACATTCCATGTTATATGATCATCTTTCAGCCTACATTCTGTGCACTGGAGTAATGTTTATTTTTCTGCAAACAATAGATAACCACTTGTTTAACCCACTGAAGCAGAGAGCTGCTAACTAAGAGACGTTAGTGGGGTAAGGGGTAAACTTGCTGCAGCAAATAGAGTTTATGTCCTTAGACTGTGGTTAACCATCAAAAATAGTCAGCGGTAGCCCGTTGCTCTCTTTCAGCTGGCTGCTGCTACTCTCTCTACTCTCATGTGTCGGGTAAAGTTCTGAAGCTCTGTATTCTGGCTCAAACATATTTGGTCACATTTGGGAATGTTTGTGCTCAGGAAGCTGTTATCGTCTAGATATTGCTCTTCAGGATCCTGTCTAGGGCAGTAGCCATGATAGCTACTTTGAAGGACCTTTTGGGCATAACTTTTTTTAAGTAACCACCCAAACACCTACTGCTTCGCCTCTTAGACCCTGTGCACACTTGGTCTCAAGTGATCAGATCGTTAGTGGACAGCGAGACGTATAGCTGTTTAAACCTGGCATTTCCATGTGTTGAATGCGTCTCCAGTGATCGGATTTTGTGAGTGGAGGAAGGGTACCACCCACGTTTACTATGTCAATCTCTAGCTGTGTTTGCTGTCAGATAAAAATGTACTGTGAATCAATGTCTGTGTAAATGAGAAGGCTGTTACAAATTTTTAGACCACTTGAACTGCTACTGTGACTTGTAAACAAACAGTAGGAGAAACAAAAAATGAAGCTATGCCACTGCTTTTATTTCTGCTGTGATGACGGAGCTGATAAAGGAGGTGTCTGCTGCTCCTGAAGACAAATTAAGATGTTTTAGCGTTCACACTATGAATGTTATGTGATCGTATTTGTCCCTGACCACCTCTGAAGGTGGTTTGAGTGATTGGATCACTATATACCTTGATTACGTCGCCAAGAGTCAAAACTTACCCAAAGTACATTTCTGGATCCACAAGGGGCATTAAAATTGTTCTTTTTCATTCAGAAATGATCTCCTAGCGATGAGTACATATATTTTGATGTGTAATACAGCGAACTATCCGTTTGAGAATAAAAACTTTTAATTTTACCTCATGAAGCTTCTGTTTGAGTTTGTGTCTAAGAGTGACTTGAGGGCTCTCGTTCCCAGGGGTGTTCCTCACTCTAGAGCTCCTCCGCACACGGGAAACTGTGGGGTTACGAGCCGCACTGCAGAACAAGTATAGCAATATCAGCAGGGTATCAGCACTGTGTTATGAATATCACTTGACAAAAGCAATGAGGAACCCTGCCTAAAACATGTCTTCATTAGAATCAAAGCTGTATATGTATCTTACTATCAAGCGATGTTTTAACAGACTGACATTTTGAATTTGCTGTTGAATGATCTGAAGACATTGCAATGACTAATTTCACATATAACAGTAACTCATAAAGCGTACTACTTAGTGTCAGTGATCAACACATAAATAGGTAAGCAAATGCAATCAAAACACTTGCAAACCTAAATCACGCTTGTCACAACATAGGTTAAGCTGACACGAAGGAACAGTTAACGTTAGGCTAAATCGCAGAAAGCAGACGTGACAACTTCGCTGTACGCTCTTTTAGTCAAGAGCAATAATTTCTTAATTTCTTGGTGCATCTGTTTTCTAAACAGAAGCACAAAACACTTCCTACCAACAGCTAACCGAAAAGAAATACACACCTTCTGGTTACTGGAGACCGCGCTAGCTCGGAGTGCAGAACGTTCCTCAGCAAAACCCGAGCGGAAACGTCCTCTTCGACGGAATCCATAACAGATTAGAAAACTGCAGCAAACAAAGTTAAAAAACAAACTTTATATGTTAACTAAAATTGTTCAACGACAGCAGCAGGGACGCAGAACAGGGCAAATTGGCTAAATTTATTCATCTCCCAACTCAACAAAGCCAGAAAGCGTTCAAATTAAGTATTGATGACGTAGTCTCCCGCCCTGAAACACGTACACGAGGGCTTCATGGGATATGTAGTTTCGCAAGTGCGTTTCCGGGCCTTACTTTGCAAAGTTAATGCCGTTAATCTCAGATGTTAGTTCTATAGCTATGTTTATCGTACTTCTGTAAGTTACGTTTACCGAGTAAAAGCTTTAGCAGTAGGTTTTCAGTGTTATAAATGTTTACTGAATGCATTTGAGTAGACTGCTTGAGGGACTTCGGCAGGGGCCTTTTTTCCCCACTCAGGGCACACTGCGAGTATGAGGCTAATACTAACAGGCGTATCAACTCAACAATTTAAAGACTTACTGGAACGTTCATATTTCACAACGTATTACCTTTAAGCAATACATTAATATAGTGTCGTTAAAGAGCCAACGACGTCCAATTAATACTATAGTCATTGCACACCTGCGCATTTTTGCGCAGACCTGACCACAACAAATCGTTTCGGAAACCAAAACAGGATGTTGTAAGCATTGTGGGACGTGTAGTTCCGCTTGTAGGCCGCTGCTCTTGATAACAGCGCACGAAGGAGCCAAACAAAACAAAATTAACATAACTTTTGAAGGATTGTTAAAACAGTGGCGAGGTTGCCGTACGGTCATGCCTGGGTTCACATGCTGCGTGCCTGGATGCTACAACAATTCCCACCGGGACCGCGAGCTGCGCTTCTACACCTTCCCAAAGGATCCCACTCAGCGGGAGATCTGGCTCAAGAACATCTCGCGGGCCGGAGTGAGCGGCTGCTTCAGTACTTTCCAGCCCACGACTGGGCACCGGGTCTGCAGTGTCCATTTCCCCGGAGGTAGAAAGACCTACACGATACGGGTGCCAACCCTGTTCCCGCTCCGCGGAGTAAACGAGCGAAGGAGTCGGCGGGGCAGGAGCAGAAAGGTACCCGCGACTGTGCCCATCATCACCAGCGTAGTGTCGATCGGCAGCGAGGCTGCGCCGATCGAAGGAGAGGGCAACACGGACACGACCGTGGTGCAGATAGGGCAGAACGGCCAGTACATCACGCCCGTGGACGTGACCGCCGCAGCGGATGATGGCTCGTGCCCCGTGGCGGTCTCCCACCCGGAGGATTTCGCCGGGTCTAGTCCGATTGGCCCCATGCAGGCCGCCGCCGGCCAGTGTAGTGGGCTATACGGAGAGGACCACTCGTACTCACTGACCAACGGAACGACCTCCGCCGAGCTGCTCAGGAAGCTCAACGAGCAGCGTGACATTATCGCGCTCATGGAAGTGAAGATGAAGGAGATGAAGAACACCATCCGTCAGCTGCGCGTCACCGAAGCGCGCCTACAGGAGGACCTGCGCGAGAGGGACCGCATGCTGTCCGCTGCCGTTTCAGTGAGGAAGAAAGTCTGACAGACGACCGGGATTTACTTAATGACGAGCTAAAGAGCAAAAAACAGTGTTTTCAGTGCTCCTGAGAATTACGGCTGCAAGGCGACGACAATTGACTTTCATTGTAGTTCATTTGCTCGACCAAGTTCTCTTGTCTTTACGCTACTTCTACCGTTAGTAGTTAGGCGTCGTGTAATAGCAGGATGCTAAAGTAAATGAGTAGGTCACCTGTGTGTATGTTTAGAACTGTCACACACTCGCGAGTAGCTCGGACTGAGACGTTTAATAGACTGTTTTTCATTTTTAATCCGTTGTACTTTTCTTTTTCAGTTCGTGATGAAGGGAGGTTTTCCTTTCTGCTGCAGCTCGAGATTCGCCAACTGCCACCACATATGAATAAACGCAGCCTTCACTCACACGAACTGTTTGTTTTTGAGTGAAGGCATTTCATGTGTTTGAGTACATAACAAGCTTTGTTCCTCTATTTTTTTGATATGAGTGATCAGAGGATTTGTTACTGAATGATGGATCCTCACCTGTTTGTAAAGGATAACTGAGGGCTTGAAGTAAAAAATGAAAAAGATGCGCGAGTCTATTTTTGTTGTGTTAGTGTAGTTTCTTAAATACAAGTGGGATATTTTTTCCCCACACGCTTGTGGCATATGACTTGGGATCATTTTGAATAGTGGCAGATGTGATGACTGAGAAAGGACTGGAGTGAAGGACCTTTCCCCGACTCCCTTCTCGCTCAGTTTGCTAATAAGAATTAGGTTCTGGAGAAGTGATGATTCTGAACATACATTCAAGAAATGCTGGAAGTTTCAAATAAGAAATAAAACAATGTAAAAAACAGCAGTAATTTTTAATCACTTAAAAGAAGGAATAAACCTTTAGCCAGTGTTCGTATACAAATGTACAATGAAAAGATCCCATGATTCAATTCTCTTTTCCCCCTCTACAAAGTAAGGTTGAATAGTAGACAGACAGATGCTTCAGAAACTTCTTCAGAACCCAGAAATCCTCCTCCTGTCACTCCTGTATGTATTAAAGGCGTAATCTTTTGATGTCTTCACTGCGGAAGTCTACTCTGAGTGCCAAGACCTGCCGGACCTCAGCAGGAGTCAGGCGCCAGGTAAGAGGCCCGGAGTTTGGCCCCCAGTAATCCAGGATTTCCGATACCTGAAAAGAACCAAGAACTTTACATTTACTTTCTCAACCAACATTATGATCATACTTATTACATAATTATAATTTTATTTGCAAATAGAAGGCAGAGCCAAAACAGCCACTAAGGCCCCTGACCATGCCAATTCATACTTGAGTTATTTAGAAAATAAATATCTTCTTAAATAATCCTTTTCCAGAAAATATCATCTTGTTGATAAATTAACTGTTTAAGACTTTCTATTAAACTAAATTTGTCAAATTATATTGAATATTTACTACAGCATTACAAACATAGTGGTGTTCAGACGTGTTAATAACCAGTTTACTGCTAGAAAGGCACATACCCTCTCCAGGTTGAGAACTGTTGCCATTTGAGTAAGCCGTGCAAATTTGTCCCGGATGGTCCAGGAGGTGACCGATGAGAGATAGGCCACCAATGAACGCAATTCCTTATCAAACTGCAGCCCACCCAGCTGTAACAAGGATAAAACATCCAATTTGGGTGTTAAAGTGATATGATATGTGTGGGGTTGTGTCAGAAGAAAAAGAGAAACTCACCCTGCTGAAGGTACACTTGAAAACAGTCTTCTCCAACTCCATGGCAATAAGGCTGGTCATCAGGCTAGTCAGAGTATCATAGATCATTGGAGACAAACCCACCTGAGGAGAGGGGTGCATTTAGAGGGAACTTTTTAGTGATCAAGTTCACACAATGACAAGTGACTGAGTTTCCTTACTTTAAATTCAGCCATGAGCTGCTCCAGTTGCACAATGAGCTGTTGAACCCATGGGTCATTGGCTTCATATTCACTGAACTCCTCCTGAAGGAAAGCAGCAAGATAGTGTTTATGTGGACACATTCAGACAAGCTATAGAGGGTCTGTTGTAAAAATAAATAAATAAATAAATAAATAAAGTCCTACACAAATACATAATATGTAACTGAACTGAATGGAGTGTGATAATTGTGTTAGACTTTTGTGTGTTCTGCAGGGTGAAACTTCAACAATTTACAGACTTACTGGAACATTCATATTTCACTGAGTATTACCTTTTAGCAATACATTAATATAGTCTCGTTAAAGAGCCAACGACTTCCAATTAATACTAAAGTCTTTGGGTGAAACTTCTCACCACCTTCTCACAAACAGACAGTATATTATGTCTGTGTAAAGGCTGGCTTTACAGAGTGAAATGCTCATGCGACTTTAGTTGCTTTAAACTTACATGAAAATTTCATTTGAATTGCATAATGTAAAGCATATGGCAACTAATGTGAAACTCAGCTGCAACAGTTGCAAACATCTCAAATCAAAATGTTGATAAGACATCATGTGGTCATGTCAAACAACAGTGTTTTAAACAAATCATTTCACAGAATGAATGGACAAGAAAACCAAATACAGATTATTAGATGGTTGAAAAAGAGAATCCTCCTGACTGACTTCATGCAAGGTTTTTCCACTTTGTCAGTTAATTAAGCCATGACAACAAATGAACAAACATAAGTTCCATTGCACAGAATAGGGCTTACTACTTTGAGATCTAAGATATGAAAATGATTACATCTGGGGAAACCAAGCTCTCAGTGAACACCTAGGACCAGATAAGTGAGGACACCAGGGGCAAACTTAAATATGGCATTCTTCTGAAAATTTTAGAGCACAGTTTCTATTAAAATGTGCTTATTTGAGTTTAACATATTAAAAATAAGATATAAAAAGGTCCCATAGCTTTAGTTATTTTCCCCCATAATGTTAAATTCAGCAAACAAACAGTAATTGTGCATTAAAATATGCAGACATTTCTGTATTGGCTCATTAGTCCAATCTGACAGCTGGATATTGTGTTAGTAATAAACTAAAATGGTATTTTGTGCTACTCACATCTACCGTGACATATTTTAATATTTAGCTTTGCACTGCTAAATACTGCTAAATAGTTGCATATGCATTGTTATTAATATTGTGATAAATATTGTCTTATTCTAAGCATCATCAACAGTACTTAGGATGCATAGTTCATTCTTGGTTCCAGCCTGCTGAATTCATTCAAGGTATCAGTTACTGACAAAGGTAAAAACAGCCAAAATGAGGACTTGAGAGGGCAGTAATGTCCACCTCACACCCCACCAAATGAAATTAACCTACCTACCTCTTCAATATTGTGTGAAACAGACAAGAAGTTGCTAATCCATGGTTTCACTTGTGGTTTGATTGCTGTGTTATTCAGTTCCTGCAGGCCCTCCTACACACACACACACGATCAGGAAATACACATTTTCAACAAAGGTGGGCATCGCATCTACACACAGGACAATACTCAGATTTTCTGACCTGAAGGAGATCCTTGAACTTGCTGGAGGTGTTCACCAAGTCAGACAGACAGCTGTCTATTTTTGCCTGAGCATGCTCTGAGCCTGCCCCCTGACTGAACAACTTGGCACAATCACTCTGAGAGAGAGAGAGAGAGAGAGAGAGAGAGAATGAATCATGTATTTGTCTACTGGCTATGGGGTATTAAAGATTATGGATTACAGAAGTCATACCTCCAGGTTCTTTTTCAGAGTGCTGATATTCTCACTGCAGACTTCCACATTATTCAGAGTTACCTGCAAGAACACACAGTTAACACTGGGAAATAAAGGTACAATGAACTGGGCAAATATGCTTCACCACTAAATAGCACTGGCCTGAATAATTCAAGTACTGCAGTATTTGATAGGTCATTTCTCTATTCAGTATTCTTTTATTAAGCCCCAAAAAATTGTAGTCTACAATAAATGTGATCACTAAAGTCCTTTAAATAGAACAGCAATTGCCAATATATAAACAAAATTAAAACATAAGTTCTAATTTTGATCTATAAAAATAAGTTATGGCTGATTTAGTCGAATGCTTCACAAAGTCATGTCACTTCACCTCAGACCAAAACAAAACGGCACTGCTTTCCAAATGAAGCTAAAAGAGCAAAAATCCAAAGCGTGTTAGCATTTTAATTATGGGATGGTAAGAAAAATGCTCTGTGCAATATTTGTCACTGGCATACCAATGAGACATGACAAGTTTGATAAATTATATCAAATATGTAAATACAGTGATCCTAATCCGAGTACCGACATGCATTCAGTCCATACTCCCTAAAATTCAGTTGTCGCATACCTGTTTCGGGGGGAATTTTAATTTTTTTTCTCTTTTTTTTTGTGATTAAACTTGACAGCACCAGAAACATCTTTCTTTTTGTGACAATGAAATTTTTACCACTGTATCAGAAAGCAGTCTCCTCCATACAGCACAGAAGCAACTACCGCATCAGCATTATCTCATTTTAGTAAATTATTGTTAGATAAATGTCTAAAATTCAGAAACACAGAAATTGAGATACGTGACTAGAACTCTATTGTTCTTTTTTTATTGTACAATATTTATAAGCTTTGGTCACAACTAATGTGAACTGAAACACTGATTAAAACAAAGTGTATCTGTTCTGTCGGATGGAGGACTACAAAAAAAAAAAACATAATATTGTTTTTAAGGGTGGTTTTGAGAACATGTATTTGAATACTTCTTTGGAAATAAAGACAAGCATTCAAGGCCTGTAAAATGCTTTTTGGGCCACCCCTACCATTATAGCATAACCCATAATAACAGCCATAATTAAGGAGTGTTAGTTACCAAGTAGGCGCTTTTGGCCTGCTCCTGGCTCTCTATGCCTAGTGTTTGTATCTTTCCATGTTGCAGGCTGCTCTGCATCAAGCTCACGGCACTGCTGACGCCACGCTGCAGGTCCTGGAGAGCACTGGCTGGGTAACCTGCTCTTAACTTACACACCAACACTTCCCTGCAAACACACACATAGCTTACAAATATTCCACTAACACTGTAAGAACATAAAGCTCTCTTCGCACAGCGTGGCAGAAGGGCAATACTATACAACAGCAGATTTCATGCTTTAACTACAATAAAGACTGTACTTGTTTTTTTGGTAGATTATACAGCTGAAATAGTTTGGGCAGCTCTAAACAAATTAAATATTTCATTGACTTTTAAAAATCAGCTTTGTACATTTTTTAAAAATATTTTTTCTGCAAAGTTACTTTATATTTGATTACCTTAAAATAGTAATTTTGCTAATATAAGTATGCACACCCTTCTAATTGTAAAATCAAATTAACTTGTTAGGCCTTAACTGACTTATGAGGACTGGTTATGCAGGTTAAGAATTGGAATTGTCAGCTGATGTTCGTTCCTGAGCATAATAAATTCTCTGACTCTTCAAATCTTGTGCTAACGCTCAGCAACCTTGGAGTCTTCTAAGCAAGCAGCTGAGGATTTAAAAATAAAGCTAACTGATGCCTACAAAGCAGCAGAAAGGTATAAAATAATATCGAAGTGCTTCTACAGTAGTTTCCAAT